TTTTTATAGAAGATAAAAAGCCACCCGACAAATTGGCTCTCCGTCTAATATCAGAAACAAAAGATCAAAAATTCAAAAAGAAGTGCCCTCGTCCAGGATCGAACTGGAGACCTTCGGATATCAATCTTGTTACCAAGAATGTCATATTTAAAGGATATGAGACCGACGTCATGACCAAACTAGACCACGAAGGCAACCACTGAGCCAGTTGGCTTGTGATGACATAACATTGTCCTTATAACTATTTTATATGAATATGCCTAGTTCTGCGGACCCGGGGAAGAGGCACGTAATATAAAGTTACCTAGGTAATAACGAGTTGGTTAGTTATACAAAAGTTGCTAGTTGGTTATTTAGATGAACAAGTATATTATATTTAGGAGTCATGGTATCTTGATCCCTATTCTCTTTAGGGTTAGGGCCTCTATGATGAATACTACTTGAATAATAGTAGTAGTAGTAGTAAGGCTTATCCTCTCACGTATCTTTAAAGACTCCTGATAAAATACCAACATTTCGATTCAGCTGGACTTCGATTCAGCAGGACCTTACGGTCGAGAACGAGGGCCTACCGATGTATCTTTTGTATGCTTTTCTCATACGAAAGATACATAGTTACATAGAGACCCCCAAATTTATACCTAACCTGTTAATTGGTCGTGTTCGACCCACTCCACTATATGAGAGAGGCAAAAAGAGATGCCCTCGTCCAGGATCGAACTGGAGACCTTCGGATGTCAATCTTGTTACCAAGAATGTCATATGAAAGGATATGAGACCGACGTCATGACCAAACTAGACCACGAAGGCTACCACTAAGCCACTTGGGCTAGTGATGGGGGTATTTCAGAATAAATGACACTACAAACCAAAACAGTCTGTGCATTAGCTAAACCGCAAATAGACGATCAATATTATTTTCAAATTTAAACCATTTTTATAAGATATTTACTGGTTACATTAGTTATCTCAAGCATACTATCCCCGAGATCTGTGGTGATCAACCGAGTTACTGATTATTTATGTGGTGTATCATGGCATCCATCAGAATATCCACAAGTATATATTGTACGGTGTTGGGGAAAATTATACACTTTTTTAAAAAGATATATGTAAGATTTACTCCTGCTCTTTGCAACAAGCAGTGTATAATATAGGTGAGCTGAACAAGAAAGTGTGCACGCTCCTGATAATCTAGTTATCAAGGCTCTTACTCCCACGGTGTATTTATACCGCCATAAGCATTACTCCAACCCAACACACCTAAATATGTTTTAGACTATAGAGCCCGATGTATGATAATGAATATAGTCAGTCTAGCGAATGAGCTCTCGCAACCATCTATCCCTAGCTGCGAACACAACTGGTTGCCATACGATATCCTCGTGTATCCGGTCCTAATTCAAATCGAAATAACAAGGCCATTAGTTCGATCAAAAGAGCCAGCTTGCAACAGGTCATAGTAGTTAGGTTTGTAGCGAGCCTAGAAAGCCATATTGTTCAAAGTTTGATCTCATTCTTCCCGCTCTTGTATTGCTTGCTCGTAGTCACCTACCTCTATAACAGGGCTTCATTTAAAATGCACAAGCTATAACCATATAGTAAAAATACCTTCATACTTAGCTAGTTGGCATCATAGACCTAGACAGAAACAAACTGGCGTACTAGATGTTCGATACCCATACCCACCTATATAGGACTAATGATTTGTGGCCACGATATATATATAACTGATAATTCTATACTAATTCAAGGTCCCCTTAGCTATCAAATGATATGATACACGCAAACATAATCTAGTGCGTCCCTACAGATAGGGAGACTAGGATCTTTGGTGATACTAACATATTAACATATACAGTGGGCATGTTTCCTTTCCGCTTTATGCGCTCATTTATTGCACCTAGAGCTGAAAGGAGCCATGCTCCATCCTCTATCCCTAGCAACTGTCTCTCAGCGAGATATGTAAATCGGACAACCTTTTTAGATCTTGTCGGTCGTCCACTGTTATATCGCTATCTTCCCACTCCCCTCAACAGCATTACATATAGCCGTCTAGAAAGGCTTCTTTGTCACCGTAGTAGGGTTTTTTTGGAGGGTTTCTTTTTTGCGTAGAACCCAGAAGAAGAGCAAATACTGCAGTGAACCGACTTCGCTCAACACTGGCACGCCGAGAGAGAGAGGGATATATATATATATGTATATATATTCACACCCATCGAAGTACTTACATGGACATGGCCTACAGAATACACAGTGAATGAGCAATACCATAGCAAGGAAATGGCATGGAGTGACACCAAAAATTAACTCCATATCTTCTGCATGATACGAAGATCAATTAATCATTCAAGTGAAGTCTGATATTAGGGCAAAGTTGACTAGGTAACATTGAGATAAATTTAAATAAGGTTAGTTTCATCTGTGGATGCAACCTTCCAAGGTTGGATACATACAGGCAGTTAAACATAAACAATGTATAGTACACCGAAAAGGCTAGGTACACATATGTATCCTATAAGATGTTTTGTATAGCGGTTGTTATATATGAAGCTGCCATCAACCATATCTCTCGAGTGAATAAGGTCGACGCTTGGGTCAATTAACCTACCTATATAGGTAGGTACATTCAACCTCGGAAAAGCCACACTCCGCTCCATAGTGTTACGTGTCTACTCAACAACCCGAGAGCTCTTACCATCAATACTCGAGATATAGTAGTAATAAATACAAAGTTGACATGTGGGTATTTCCATACAACCCAGTTCCTCGGTATATGCCACTCGCCCCCTCCTGGGTTCAATCGCCGTTCTTTCTACGACATTCTTCATCCAACTTAGGACTCTCAATAGCCCAAAAATGGGCGCATTCCCACCCCGGCCTACAGCCCATTAATAGGCGCCCATCAAAGCCCATCAAATGACAATTTATATGCACAAATACAGTCTTAGCACGTATAGAGTAGATGATTAATGGCTATATCTTCCGTATATACCAACCTACCTAGGTATATATTTAGTATCATCATATTATCATAGTAAGAAATAGGTAGGAATTCAGTAGATATTATGCTGATTTAAATATTATAATGCCAGATTTTATACAAAATCACCTCAAAAATATCCAACTTGACCACGAATCCGTAGCCAGGAGGATCACTAAGTATTAGCTCAAAGATATATATATCGGGTCTATACCTAGGTATAAATTATAGTAGCACTAATAGTACCTCCTTACTATGTAATTCCCTGCCCAAAATAAATACCGCTTGTAAAAAGTAAAAAAAGTAAAGCTTTATGAAAATCAACTCTATATCTTCCAACCGACCTTTCTCTTAATCTCTGCTTCTTCTCTCCTTTATGCTTCGAAGGGTCATACAACTTCATAAATCACTCAGATGGTAGTTTGAATACCTAAAAAAAACGAGAGAAAATTGCATTAATTATATAGCTACGATAAATTGGCATGTTTGTATTGGCTACGGCCCATTATAAGCCCAGAATGAAGGCCCATGGGGCTCATTCGGGCCCACGGCCCACCAATGGGCCCGAAGATAGGGCCCCAAACCCAGCCCATTTGGTGGGTTGGGTTGGGTTGGACTATGGGCTTTTGGGCTATTGAGAGGTCAAATCCAACTAGTCTCGACCATTATGGGGCTCCATATATATTACCAGAGCTCAATAATAGCTGTACCAAGGCCAACCACAACACCGTAAAGTTTACCACAATAGCAAGCACACCTTTACCTAGGCAACCTTACGCTTTCGAGAGGATCCACACCTGGGATGCGAATCCAAGACGTCTCAGACCCCCGCCGGCAAGCACAACATGTCAACCCGGTGTCTCTTCGTGTATATGGTCAGAATCACCCGGGATCTGTATTATTACATGACGTGTACCTCGACACGGTCTAGGAAAAATAGGTAACTAGTGTATGTGGCGGAACTAGGCAACTATAAGATGGTCATTCGATGTGTCAACCTACTTAATATAGTTGAGTATGTTTAGTCACTAGTACTGTAGGTAGACCTTCCAAAGGAACGGTCGATGACAAATCACGAGGTATTTAGGCAATAGGCAAATGGCATTCGCAGTGTTTATCATCGTATGATAAAAAAGGACATCCAGTTGTTTGTAGGTGGATATGTTGTCTGGTATGTAAAAAAAACATAAAAAGAAATGCCCTCGTCCAGGATCGAACTGGAGACCTTCGGATGTCAATCTTGTTACCAAGAATGTCATATTTAAAGGATATGAGACCGACGTCATGACCAAACTAGACCACGAAGGCTACCACTGAGCCACTTGAGCCTGTGATAATAATATTTGGCATATATGACTACATAGTCTTTAACTAGACCATAGACGCGCTTTAATACGATTGTTAGGAGTTAACCTTGGAAGGTTACTCTTTACATTTTTTCTTCATATTAAGATAGTTTACTATACACTATGTTAATATATTACAGGATATCTTAACACATACATATGTATCAAAATAGGTGGGGAGGTGTATGACCCCGCGTTTTTGCATACGTACGCCGATCGAGGTCATATTGGGTTACTAAACACCGCAAAAGAGCCTCCATCCTACAACGAATGAGGAGCTACCTTGATGATTTACCAGAGAAGGGTACTTGAGAATCCTGAACCATGCCATGGGTGGGAAATATACCACCATATTTAGGATAGTAGTATGACAAGTAGATGTAGCAAGTCTGCCTCAGGCCTCAAGTATCGCCACACTTCCAGGCAGACTCGAGGTACACAAGGCATCCATCGGCTATCCCAACCATTTCAAATGTCGCCGTAACTCCAACAACAAAAGAATCGACTTGAAATCAGACACCCTACTAGGCAGACACACCCTTGATGGGAGTACACCAATTGCTCAATGCGATGGCAAAAAAAGTACTCTCCGCCTTATCTGTCTACTCCGGGCCACTTGGGGGCATGACTTCACCATCCACCTGTTCTCTTTTTCCCCTCCACAGAGATCCATGACTTTACTGCCCCCAACCCTCGCTCAGTCCACCTTGGGCGAGAAGTGCGCAGTATACATAGACCAGGTCGCCGACATCCTCCCCGTCCACCTACACTCCCTCCGCCATCAACTGGACCCAATTCTCACCTACCTGTCCAACACGCCCCTCGGTCCTCTCGCGCAAAAGCTACCATTCGCACCAGATAATCAGCCTATCGCTCTTTTTGCAGCTGTTACCGTCTGCCTGTTCACCGTCGTGATGAGTTGGCGCAACCCCTTAAAAATGCTACGTCGCTCGCCGAGTTATGCTCCCGCATCCAACCCACATGTTAGCGATGAGGACTTCAGTTATATCACACCTTCAGACATCGCGGACCCGCAGGTAGATGATGGAGAGCCGGATATTATTGCCCTCCGCCACCGTGGCACCATCTACCCATTGCGCTTCCGCGCATACGCGATCGACGACGGTGTTTTGACCATCGGAGACCTACGAGAGGCTGCCGCTGAGAGCACCGGAGCCGGCCACCCGGACTGTGTGAGACTGCTGTACAAGGGAAAGCTACTCAAGAACAACGCGGGTACATGCAAAGCCGAGGGACTCAAGCAGCACTCTGAGGTGCTATGCGTGGTCTCCGAAGCGGGAGCAGGCTCCCCGAGCGATGCCTCCGACGACGGACAAACCATTCCTGTAACTGCATCGGCGCCAGCACCGCCGCCGCTGCCCCGCCCCACTAGTGCAGGAGATGCATCGTCTCCTCCCACACCCCCGAGTGGAAAGAGCAAGAACTCGAGAAGGAAGAAACGCAATGGCAAGAAGCCGCCCGTCAGCGCAGAAGCCTCTGGTCCATCTCGGCCGCCACGGCCTACGTCGTCGTCAGGCCACTCAGGCGTCCCTGCCCTGCCCCCTAACCTCAAGTTGCTGCAAACGCCACTGGAGCAGGTCACTGCTTTGGCCGGATGGTTCGAGCAAGAGATGAAGCCGCTTTGCGAGGAATACATTGCGAACCCACCTAGTGACCCGAAGAAGCGGGACTATGAACATAAGAAACTGAGCGAGACGATCCTCGCACAAATCCAGTTGAAGGCGGATGGAATCGAGCCAAATGGTGATGAGGTGGCCCGCAATGCACGCCGCGCCCTCATCAAGGATACGCAGGTGGTGCTCGGTGAGCTGGATAGAATTGCATAGCTATAACATAGCTCACTAGTTGCCTATTCGGCTCCCCATTCTGTGCATATTGGGGGATTTGAAATCGGGTTACAGGCATACGTAGACATACACAACATGTATCAATCTCATACTAGTCAAGTTTCCATTTTGCCGGGACCTGTCCTCCAGCTCGGGGTGTTTCTTTGCATGGAAGGCATTGGCATATTTATGATACATCAACCTTGGGATTTACCCCAAAGACTATTTGCCGACATGTACAACTTATACACAACCTTTCTTTTTTTTTTTCTTCTTTCTTTTCTCCCTCTCTCTATCTCCCTCTCCCATTGTTTCATGTAGGTATACACTAAGTGGGGGAAGTTCAAAGGAATACTCCGTATTTTCGCCGTTACCGTCTAGATCATTTTAGCGGCATCTCGAGGTGATCAACATGGTTCAGGGGCAAAGCACGGCCCAGGACTAAGTTGCGAGAATCCTCAGAAATTTTCTTTAATTTTCTTTAATTTTCTGGTCTATTGAAGATTTCGAACAGATTATTGATTAATATGTAAGATAGACAGACATATGATGCATGTTTGGGAATATTAACAAATACCAGGGAGTACTTTGTATAACTATGTTATTAACTAGTAGATCCATGTACTCCGTACTCCGTACATAGTCCCATTCTCCATACAACTAAGAGTAATCGGACTTGGTTTAGGCTATTTCTAATGCTATTCCTAGTCTGGCGACGACTCATCTCCTTAGACCTCTCTCCCTCTTTTTTTTTTTTTCTCTATCTTGACATTCTCTTTTTCTATTGTCTATTGTCTACTTTCTATTTCCTACTTTTCTCTTCTCTATTCTTGAATCTCTCACTCATTTCACCCCCTTACCAATATCAGTACACTCTCCTTGTCTCAACCTTTCTCTCCCCCCGCGAGCGAGGAAAGCCTTCCACGGACCCAGTGCCCCTCCGCCAGCTCTTATTTGTCGAACCAAACTTGACACCTGGGAAAAACACCCCCTGCAGTTGGTTCAACCCTAAGGGTCTCTTGTTGACAATTTGCTGCTTTCGGTGTCAACCCCCTTACACTCTCCACTTTTCGATTCTACCTGGAATGTCTTGATCTCCGAAACCACTTTCTACACATCTATCTATTGAACCGGGTTACAGCTGGACTGGCCTTTTTCATTCAACAATAACTGGAATGGCGGGCGTCGCTACGGCATATTCTGCAGATGCCTTAGCATCGCCCGTGGATGGCTCGCAATGGGATTTTGCGGTACCACTTGGCCCCGAGGTAAGATTATTCCGTGTGGCATTCCAATCTTTAACCTAGTAGCTCAAGAACGTGGAAAAGAAAGAAAAAAAAAAGCGCTGATCCCCTTTTCCCCCGCAGGAAAACCACTCGTCGAAACAACGCAACTCACATGACTCCAATTCCGTGCGCGCAAAATTTTCTCGACAGCGTACCTCAAATGGGTCACGCAGCTCCTCCGTCTCGCGCAATGTCCATGCACATGAATCGCCCTATCTAGCCTCAAACCGAGGGCGGAGGGATCACAGTCTCAACCGACATGGGAGTGAAGTAGGCAGTATGCGAGATGCTTTTGGTAACGAGGCAGCCGGTCGTAAAGAGCCTGAGGAGGACAATGACGGCCTTAAATTGTACCCGGATGGAAAGACGAACCAGGAAAAATGGATCCACCGAGACAAACTGGCAAAGATCGAGAGTGAGGAGCTCCATCAGGCAGCCATTCTCTTCCAGCGACGGATGAGAGGAGAAAGCAAATCGAGTGCAGGACGCGGGAGGAGCCATGATTCACAGCAGAACACTGCTAACGGAACTGGTACCGCAAACTCACCCGCCACAGAATATTCCGAACCCTGGCCGAAAGTGCGGGAAGAACTCGGCAAGCGGGATGTGAATGGCAATGTAGATGACAATGACCGGGAACACTGGGATCTTCGCCGACCAGAGGAGATTGCCGCGGACGATGCAGCCGCCAGCATCTACAGCCACCCAAGCCTTGGAAAGAGCGCCTCCCGAATACCCGTCTCTACAATTAGTCCAGTTCCCATTCCCGGCGCCATGGGCCGTGATTCTCGCAGTTCACGGAGCCGTGCCGCAACAGACGAAGAAGACCGGTCTTCACGGGGCCGCAGAGCCAGCGAGCCTATCAACGTTGAGCAAGATGGTTCAACTCCTTCCCCAGAAAGCCGACCGGGCAGCCGCGGATTCAACAGTACACAGAATACCCCGGGCAAGAAGACAGTCAAGAGCATCGGCTCTACCAACCGAAAGACATCTGCTCCACCCACGAACAGGAAGGCGAGCGCTCCTCGATCTCGCGCTGTCTCCGGTAACAACACACAGCGCCCTACCACCCGGTCAGGTGAAAGTCGTCCTCCAACAGCCGCTAACCGGCCCGAAGGAGACCCGCCGTGGTTGGCAACCATGTACAAGCCCGATCCTCGCCTTCCACCAGACCAACAGATGATTCCGACCGTCGCCAAAAAGATGATGCAGGAACAGTGGGAGAAGGAAGGCCGGACCCCGAACACATACGACCGCAACTTCGCGCCCCTCGCAGTGCACCCATCCGACGCACCATCTGTAACCACCAAGGTCGAACCAGAGCCAGAACAGCAACCAGTTGAGTCTCTACAGCTCGAAGAGCTACCGCCCCGGCCGTCAAAGAGCCCAGAACCACCCCGCCCGAACACGAGTACCGGCTACAGCACCATGCCTAAGGTGCAGGACACACCCCCAATGGGACTGACACCTAACCCTAACCCCAACTGGAGCCCTCCGGTTGTCACCGCGCAGCAGCCACCGAAGAAAGAGAAGGGCTGTGGATGCTGCATTGTGATGTGATGGACTCCCACTCCACTATCTGTCCAATCTCTCGCCTATTTCCACAACATACCTTTGATATTTGCACGTCTGCTTGATTCCCTTCTTTGTTATTATTTTATTTCCAGCGTCTCCGGCGGGATGGTGTTCTGTCGGTTCTGTTCTGTGACTTTATATCCCGCGATCTAGGGCGTTTCTTCGCCTTGAGTTCAATTTTCTTCAGACTGCTTTTTTCCCCGGCTTTCTTCTTCAACACCAGAGCATGGCTATTATTGTTTTTTTTTTTTTTTTCTCCCGTGCATTCATTCCTTGATATTTCCCTTCTTTCTTCTTATCATTGCAATTCCCATCGAGATGGTAGGAGGGAACTCCAAAAAAGCTCGCCCTAGATAGATTGCCATGGATGGGATGGGAGCGAGGGACTCGCACCTCGAAATATAACTTGTGGTGTGCACCTTGTCCTTCTCATCCTAGTATATCTACCCGTGGCTTTCTTGACTATGATTTTATTTCTCTTCTCCAATCTCTGAATTTCCCCCTGAAACATCTTTAAAGCCTGTTTTTCCATATTCCCAAGCTCTTGCGAGCGATTTTCTCTTCTTTCTTCGGTCTGATCGGCCTGTTGGCGAGAGCAGTCAGGTACCTGGATATGCCCGCATGTTGGAATGCCAGATAATTGCTTACGGAGCTAATCAGATATCAGGTTGAATGGACGAATACATCATATCTGCACAGAATTGTTACTTGTACTTGTAATAGCGTAGATACCGCGTCAACCAACTGCCTATTTCAGGGTATATCAGAATTGTACTTGGTAGACATCTACGAACTATATAAATAGCCATCTGGACATTGCCGAAACAAGAGAAGAGTCTCGGCCCGGTGGGAGCTCCCCGGCTGACAAATATCACCTGACATCATCGCTGCATCGAATCCCGCAATCTTGACAGAATAGACCAACCAATCCTCTCATCTTTTTACCTGTACCCCGCCCCAAATATCCTATAAAAAAGAGACATCGCCTCTTTTCCCCTTTTCGTCATAAACCGCCCACCATTTCGTCCATCTTCACCCGTCTTTTCGGCTCCTTCGCCGGCCCAAATCCCGCCGCCATGTCCGCCGCAAAGACCCGTGCTCAGTCCCTCATTAACGACAACGCCGTCGTCGTTTTCTCCAAGTCATACTGCCCTTACTGTGACTCTTCCAAGAAGCTGCTTGACGGCTTGAACGCGAAGTACACTGCTCTGGAGCTGGATCAGGATGGTGAGTCTTTTCTATTTTGATTTTTTTGCGTTGCTTCTTGTATTCTTCCCACAAGAAGAGTGGGGTTAGCAATGATTGGTTTATATTTCTGATACATGTTTATGCCTCTTTTTTTTTGAAAATCAACCGCTAATATAACTTTACTACAGAGGAGGGAGCTGCTATTCAGAGCGCTCTTGCCGAACTCTCAGGCCAGCGCACCGTCCCCAACATCTTCATCAACAAGAAGCACATCGGCGGTAACTCCGACCTCCAGGGTAAGAAGGACCTGAAGGATCTGCTCAAGTCTGCTGGTGCGATCTAAGTGGTTATGTCACATAAGCAAGAATCCCCCGAGGCGTAAGTCTCGCATAGAATAAACTATATACGGAGGTACTTTTTATTGCACAGCTTTTACTTCCTTATCTACCTTCTAGACGTCTCTTAGACTTCGTTTCCTAGGTTTAGTATATAAATATAATGTGGGCAAATATCTCCATGACTTGGAATTGGAGCGATCAGGACAACCCTGCCATCTTCCAGCATTAGATGCGTATTGAGTGGAGCATTTCTATAGTTACAGCCCTGCAATGTTTTGTAGAGCCAACAGAGGGGCAAAAAAAAGTGAACGGCGACTAACTAACGTACAGGTATGTTAATACAAACAAATAAACCAAATCAGATAACCTTCTGCACAATGGTTCCAAGGGGCCTCTCAACAATCGACATCAAGCCCTCGACAATACTCATCCGGGCCCCCTCACTCGAAACGGTCTTGCCAGCCAGATAATTCAACCAAACAAGCCGACTAATCCGCTCATCAGCAACGCGCCCCATCCACTTAACCGGCTTATCAGCCCCAGGTTGGAAAAGCGCATCCAAAGCGCCATGCGCATCACGCATCAAAACAAGCGTCTGTCCCTTGGGCACCGACTTCCCCTTACCAGCACCGAAAACAGCCTTGAAATCATTCATCGAGCTTCCAAAGCTCTCATCCTGGAACTCGCCAGGCTCCGCAGCCTTCTTCGCCTGCGCGCGCGCAGTAATACCACGCACCCATCCGTCGCGCAGATGCATAAAGTCCGTGTTACGGGTAGGCACGATGCGGAATGCCGTGCGGATGCCGTTATCCTTGATGATGGCCGACCAGGCGGCGTCGCCGCGCTCCGCATCAAGGAGAAGCTCCTTGAGCTGCTGGCGCTCCGGCGAGACGAGGGAGGTAGCGGCGCTTGCGCCGGAGCCGGAAATGGCAGCGTCCGCATCGGCGCCGGAGGTGGGCGGGTGGATTGCTGTGCGCAGGAGGCGTCGTTGTAGCTCGGTGATGTCGGATTTCGCGACGTATAGACCGACTACGTAGACTTGGATTGAGAGGAAGGAGACGGTGCGGATGCCAAGACCGAGGAGTTGGTATTCTTCGCCCGTGGACGGGGCTAGATCGTCGCCGGTTTGCTTGCCTTCAGTTGCTTCGGATGTTGGGAGTCGGATTGTGCTTGGGAAGTTGGGGATTGTGCTTGTTCCTGTTGGCACTTGCTCGAGTTTGTCTTGGCCTTGGATTGTTATTAAGGATGGCCCGCCGCTGGGGAACCCGACTGGTCCGTCCATGCGCATTGCGCCGTTCTTCGGGGGTGCGGCTGTGGTCTTGTCATCTTTGTTGGTGTCTACTTCGTCAAGGCCGAATAGGTCTAGCTTGATGACGCCGTAGAGACCGGCTGCGCAGGTGATTATACCAGCTGCGGAGAGGATCATCTTCCGCTGAGCTTGGGAGGCGTGCTGGAGATCCGCTGCTGCAGATGCTCGGGAGCGGAGGGGATTATTGGTTGCATTGGAGCGGAGGGGTGTGGTGGAGAGATGCCGGGAGGAGAGGCGTGATGTTCGGAGTTGTTGCCGGGTGAGGCTTTGGTAGGCCCGCCATGGATTCTGACGGAGTGTGGAGGCCATTTTGAGCTTGGTTCGTTCGATGAGGAATCTCGAGGGCAGGATTGGCGGGTGACGGAGATGGAGTGTGGGGATGCACGTGATATGGCATGATCTACATGGGATACCCTCATGTACCAACTGTACCAACATGATTTTGATGGAATACGACCCTCTAATCTTTTTTTTTTGGATTACTTGTAATGTCAATGTTTTATTTATCTCGTGAAAAATTTGGTACAGCTTGATAGTGGTCAGCTAAATGGTCAATTTCTCTATACAGAAAGGATGTGTATGTAGTATGAGATCCAGATTATTTGACTGTGTGAACGGTTAATATTTATCTGACAACAACCTTGTGAGAGCCACCGGTGACTTTGACAGTTGCAGTACCATCAGAATAAGCCACTCCCCTCGTCAACTGGTCACCATCAATGGTAATCGAAGGCTTCTTCGATGCAGTGACATAGGGCAAAGTAACATCCCCAACAGTCCCCTTTGGTACCGAGAAAGTCAACACATATCCACTCGAATTCAAGACCCAAGATGTTTTAAACTTCCCAAGAGAGGTAACAAAACCAGCCTCGGCAAATTCCAGATCTCCAAATTGTGGCGCGATTTTCCACTCCAATCCTAGTGGCGAGACCACAGAGAGACCGACAACATACTCTGTCAATGCAGAGGTCGGACCGGAGGACCAGCCATGCGCATGTGAGACATATGATGGATCGTAGCCATACCCGCGGTCCATCCGATACCCGAAAGTCCCATTCTGTAGATAGCCTTCAATCACAGTGCTCTCTGTACCATTCGGGTTGTTGATATACCAACCCCAGCTGCGACGAATGAGTTCCAGTGCGCGTGCAGGCTCATGGGCAATGAAGTGACTTTGGATCTCAAAAGAGGATATGAACGAGGCAATGTTATCTGGCAACTCAGGAGCTACTGCCCCTATGGGGGTCCAGTTCTTGAGAAGCTTTTCTGAAATACTGGCTATGCGCTCTTCGTTTACAACACCGAACATAATTGCCATGCTATTAGCATCTTGTGGATGTAGAGAGGTCTCAGTTGCATTGTCTTTGAATGCACCGTATGACTCGTCCCAACAGTATGTGTTAATTGCTTTCTTGAGATTGGCGGCCTGGGAGCTCCACGTGTTTGAGAGGTTGGTTGAGTCTCCAACCCACACAGAGAGAGATGCCCCTGTCTGTAGGGTATGATAGAGGCTAGAATGTGTTAGCTAGAGAGCCTTCTGTATAATGGAACCACAGCATACATCATCTGCGCTTCTGAGTTGTTATATCCTTGTTGCCACCTCGCCCAGTCTCGCGTCCCTGTTACATTCAAAAGCCCGCTGGGATAGGTCACTTTTCCATATATATATTCCATGGCGTGCTTATAACTGGCCCAATTATCCGACAAGAAGTCTGTGTCATTGGTATAAAGCACATATTTATAGGTGCCAATCATAGACCACATATGATATGTGTCCGAGTCCTTCTGACTCAATGGCGGGCCAGACTCATCAAATGCACCTGTTGTCTTGTTCTATATTTCCCAGAACCGTCAGATATATATCTAAAGGGAACAACAGCAGAGCTTACCTGGGTGTTATACATAATCTGCAAAGCGTTCTTTACACTTTTCAAGTCTCCCAGGCTCACAAAAGCCGAAGGAACAGCAATGCCCATATCACCAGGCCAGACCGCACGATCTCGTTTTGCACCATCAACAATAATCGTGTCTCCTGGTCCGAGAGTCCCATTGTTTACCCATCCAGATGTAACGCCCTTTGTAACCCGGCCAGTGTTCACAGGGACCTCATTCGTCTGCAGAGTATATGCGCCGCTATACCAGATGCGATTCAAAAGCTCGTCACTGCAGTGAAAGTACCCCTGGTAAGCTCGGAGATTGGACCAAGTGGGCTTAAACGCAAGCTCTAAGCTCAAATCTTCAATATGAACACTGGCCGAATCATTTGTGACCAAGAAGACCGTCAAGTACCGGAATCCACCTCGTAGGTATTTGTCCGACATGACATATGTGCCCTTTCCAGTTGAAGAAATGTCTGCATACAACGCGCCGTCATGATATAGAGCACTTGAGGAGTCTGACCATTCTCCAATCCAATTTTTGGCTTCTGTAAATGCCAGCCCTAGAGCTCCGCTGCCGGTGGAGGTGTAGTCTAGATGGACAATTCCACCCACTTCAATGCCAAAGTCAAATACGATAAGTGAACCGTTGCCGTGTAATCCTGCTTTGTATGCATGCGAAGGGTATGTGACAGCGTTGGTTTTCAACTCTGATAAGGCCGAGGCTGGTCGTACTGTTCGCGATGCCGGTGCGTATATGTTCTTTTCCCATGGCCCACTGAATGCAGCGTCTGTAGGTCCAGAGCAAGTGGTATCACGCCAGCAAGTGTTTGCAACAGATGGCGAGAAGAGAGACCAAAGAATCAATATTACACCGTGCCAGTATGGTTGCGCCATTGGTGGCTTATTGGAGAGATAAATATCTGTATATCGTAGCAAGATAGTAAAAAGAAAGTGTAAAATACGGAGCCTAGCACGTATATAAATGGTTAAGTTGTGCAATAGTGAAATTTGGGAAGTTTCCCAGTTGGATATTCGCGATTGGTGGAAGAATCATAGCAAATGATGCTGATATTCGCAGAATTTGGGCAAGGATCGGCGTAACAAGCACTTAGAAGCCTTTGAAGTCGACATTTTGGCTGCATATTCCATGCAACCTATTCTTTTCCCCGCAGTCAATTTTCTCCGCAATGTCATGTCGTGATGTCCGATCGGTGTAAAGATAACCGAGTGTAACATCGGAAATCCAAGCAAGTGCAGAGTGCTATAGCCAGGTAAATAAATATAAGACATTATTCTTTATTAGAAAGCCGAACAGCCAAGTCTAATTATCGAGATCACCATGCGATTCTTCGGCATTCCTTCCCTGGCCCTACCCTTAGGGTTGGCGTTGTCAACTGTTGTATATGCAAACCAAAAGCGCAGCTCAAATGTCTGCACCGTTAAAGCCAAAGGGAACCAGAAAGATGATGTTCCTAATATCATAGAAGCCTTCCACCGTTGTGGTAATGGCGGTACGATCGTCTTTCCAGAGGACCAAGCCTACTGGATCGGTACTCGGTTGAATCCCGTCTTAAACGACATAACCATTGAATGGCGCGGAAAATGGACAGTAAGTGGGCTTTCAGTATAGCCAATGATAATGGAACTAATACGAGCTAGTTCTCTGACGATTTGGATCACTGGCGCAATAACTCATACCGGATTTCCTTCCAAAATCACGCCGCCGGGTTCGTTATCACCGGTCAAAACATCAGGATTGATGGGTACGGCACTGGTGGCATCGACGGCAATGGGAATGCATGGTACACAGCCGAGAAAGGCGACACGCAACCCGGCAGACCGATGCCGTTTGTATTTTGGAACGTATCCGATGTCAGTGTCGAAAATTTCTACATCAAAGATCCCCAGTTGTGGAGCATAAATATCATGAACGGAACCAATATGCGCTTTAATAACATCTACTGCAATGCGACTGCGGTAGATGCGCCATACGGCGAAAACTGGGTCCAGAATACAGACGGATTTGGTATGTCGGTCACTCCATTTTTCCCTCGCAGCCTGACTAACACTGTGGATAGACACCATGGATGCGCAGAATATCCAACTCAGCAATTTCATATACCAAGGTGGTGATGATTGCGTGGCAATCAAACCACGATCATACAATATCGATATTCACAATGTCACCTGTCGTGGCGGAAATGGGATTGCTATAGGCAGTCTGGGCCAATACCAGGAGGACTCGAGCGTGGCTGATATCCGCATAGATAAGGTCAAGGTAACCCGATACAACGAGGATATGCACAATAGCGCGTATATCAAAGCGTGGGTCGGCGCACTTGTACCACAGAGCTCCTATGAGAGTGCCGGACTCGCTCGCGGCGGTGGCTGGGGCAGTATTCGGAATGTGTTGCTCTCAAACTTCGAAGTCCATGGAGCCAATAGCGGACCTGCTATCACACAAGACAGTGGAAATAATGGCTCGTATTCGGGGACGAGTTTGATGGATATTTCCAATGTCGCATTTGTAAATTTCACGGGCTATATCAAGAGCACTTCGAGGAAGGTGGCATCTGTTTCATGCTCGAATGTGCATCCGTGCTACAATATTGATTTTGATAATGTGGTGCTATATCCCCAGGAGAATGCGACTACGCCGGGGGTTGGGTCGTGCAAGTATACAACGGAAGGCGGGGTACACGGGCTCGATGGATGCTGAACGTCCTTCACATTACCACATTCACACTAGGTATAAGGAATAAAAACTTCAGAGAATACTATCCCTTATATATATATATATATATATACACACATTTAAACTAAATGGATCTTAATTCCGAGGTTCTACGTCAAAAACAAAAAAAAACAATTGAATTTATGCTTAAGCTAAGCCCCACAGCTCCACATGGGGCACTTTCCTGTATGACGTTGTTTGCTTAATCTTCTTTTGACCTTTTCACCTTATTTCTACCCCTGAACCCCACGCATTAGTCTATGACCAAGCCAAAAATGCCAGAAGAAACAGTTCGACCTGCTTTTGAAGGCCGTGAGCGCCCACTTCTTTCCTATGGCATCGACTTTCCCACAGCAACAGCACAGCATCTCAACAGCACATTCCAGGCTTCGCGTGTATATGTGATCTGCTCGGGGTCATTGGCGCGAAATATCAATGTAATGGACCAGCTTGAGACTGTGCTGGGGCCGGATAAGCTGGTCGGTCATTGGATTGGTATGCGGAGCCACACTTTATGGTCAGAGGTGCTGCAGATTGCTGAAGAGGTTAGAACTGCGCATGCTGATATACTCTTGACGGTTGGAGCTGGCAGCTTGACGGATGGCGCCAAGATCACTGCATTGGTTGGTACCCCTTTTTCTTTCATACTTTTATTCGTGCTTTGTTTCTGTTTTATATATATTCTTCTTGCCTCTTCTTATTCCCCCCTGGAAGCTCATATATATATTCAATTACTCTTAGCCTAATAATATTCCTCTCAGGTCCTCGCAAACGAAGTCAGCACACCAGAAGAGCTTGAAACCCTTGCAGAAGGCCCCAGAAGGCGACTAGAAATCAAAGCACCAACTATTCCGATCATTTCCGTACCAACATCTCTCTCCGCCGGCGAATACTCCAACTTTGCAGGCGGCACGGAAGACCACTCAAAGCGCAAATACAGCTTCCAGTCACCGATTCGGGGACCAGAGCTGATTATTCTCGATCCGAAGCTGGCGGAAACGACTCCCGATTCAATTTGGCTTAGTACAGGTGTACGCGCAATCGATCATTGTGTCGAAAATCTGTGTTCCACATCAGGTACGACCACGACGTCAGACAAACTGGCCCAGGGTGCGCTGAAATTGTTGGTCCCTGGTCTCTTGCGCTGTAAAATGGACCGATCAGACCGTGATGCGCACCTACAATGCCAGCTTGGATCAGTGGATGCTATGGCAGCCTGTACGAGTGGTTCAATTGAATTGGGTGCTAGTCATGGGATTGGACATCAGGTATGCGATTGATCTTCTTTCTTTGCCTTCTAAGGCACCCACAGGTGCCTCAATGGGTCCGACTGACAGTTCTCTAGCTTGGTCCACTGGGTGTCGGCCACGGTGAAACCAGTTGTATCTTGCTCCCCGCCGTGTGTAAGTTCAATGCTAAGTACAATGCCAACCGCGAAAAACAAGCTAGCGTGCGCCAATTTCTGATTCAAGATCCGGTTGTATTGGAGGTGCTACGTGCCCGCTCGGTCACGGTGGAAGAATCCGACTTGGGCGATATTTTGGATGTCATCATACGCGAATTGGGAATGCCTCGGTCCTTGAGCGAGGTCAAAGTTGGGCGGGACCAATTGGATGGACTGGCAGAGAATAGTCTGCATGACCGTTGGTGCAAGACAAACCCAGTGCCACTGGAGGAGAAGTCTCAGGTATTGGAGATCCTAGAGATGGTAGCTTAAACATTCAGGAAAGTCCCTTCGGTACTCTATATAAAAAAAAGTCCAAACAAAGCAGCTTCATAGTTAACTAGCACCATACATTGTATAAGGAGTATTCAAGCATATATAAACTAACATAAATCCTAAGGGCCTGATCAGGTAGTTCAGATATCCTTATTCAAGTTTCTTGTGTAGGAAGGAGTAGGTTAGGTAGGGCTAGTATCTTCCTATGCTTCACGATGACGTCGTGGAGCAGTGTCTGGGGATACTTGACAATATGTGAGTAAATCCTTCGATGTTGATTCAATTTTTGTTCAGGTCTCTAGTTTTCACTAGTTTTGGCAGTTGTAACAATCTACTATATAACTATCTGCACCAGAGACATGTAGATATTTTGACCACCTGGGCCCTTCCACTCCCAAATGCAATGTACAACATGTCCTTCATTCCAACAATTTTAATTAAAATGGCGATTGAATAATAACTTTGCAAGCCTCTCCAAATCGATTGATAAGCACGACCCCCACACCCCACATTTCACGTTATACATTAATCTTGCGCCATCTCTAGGGCTGCGCTGTGGACAACTCCTTTAGTTCTCATAGCAAAGCTATACAACCATGTCTCTCGCCAAGAACATCCTCCTATTTGGAGCAACGGGCAACATCGGCTCATTCATTCTGGACGCCATCCTGCCCGAGCGCTCCCAATTCGGCCGTATCGCCATCTTCACTTCCCCGCACACAGCTGAGACCAAAGCCCCACAGCTGAACAAGCTGAAAGAGCAAGGCATAGAGGTAATTGTGGGTAATGTTGAAGACGAGAATGCCGTAAAAGCAGCATACGAAGGTAAGAAAGCTTTCTTTCCTGACATCCATGCATAATGACCTCAACCATCAAAACCGCCCATACCACCAAACCAAAGGCTAATCACTAAACCAAACAGGAATCGATACTGTGATTTCAGCCCTAGGTCGCAATACCTTAGCCCAACAGATCCCCCTCATTAGACTGGCAGCCGCCAGCCCCACTGTGAAATGGTTCCTGCCCTCCGAGTACGGCACGGATATCAAGTACGGGCCGGCTTCGGCGAACGAGAAGCCACACCAGCTGAAGCTGAAGGTGCGCGCGTATCTCGAGAATGAGGTCTCGCGTGACGACCTCGCTTATTCATATGTAGTCACTGGCCCGTTTGCGGAGATGTATCTTCATCTCGTGCCTGGGTTGGAGGAGGCTGGTGGGTGGGATGTTAAAGGGCGGAGGGCTATTTTGTTGGGTGAAAAGGGGAAGGGAGAGGTTAGTTTGACGACGATGAAAGAGTAAGAACCCTTTTCCTTTTTCCTTTCTGGTGTTTGTTTCATTGGCTTGGATTGGACTATTGGCTGATTGTTCTGCCAGTGTTGGAACACTGGTCCTCAACACTCTGCTTCATGCTGCGGCTGAGACGCGCAACGCTGCCTTATGTGTTAATTCGTTTACCACGAGCCCAGACCAGATTCAGGCAGAGTTTGAGCGCCAGCTTGATGGTAAACCGTGGGATGTGTCTCACACATCGCTGGAGAAGTTGCGTGAGGCGGAGGCTGTGGCGTGGGAGGCTGGGAATCCGGCGGCTACTGTGTTGACTTTGCGTCGGATCTGGGGTGAAGGCGGGACGCTGTATGCGAAGCGGGCTAATGGGTTGATTGGGGAGCCGAAGGTGATGGGGCTGGAGGATGTGGTTGCGAATGAGATCCAGAGGGTATCAAAATTGTAGATAGCTTATCTCCATTTGTTTTTACATAGTAGTTAGCCCATATCCAAGGGCGAAATGTGATCTACATGGACTTCGCACACACTGTGGAATCCAACGTCTAAAGCTCATGGCATTCGTACGTAGGGGCTAAGAATTAAGGCAACATGTCGGGGATTCGGGTAACATCAGATTTCACATGACCGAGGGGAATGATTCGGGAAATAATAAAAAAGGGGAAACAGCTCTGCCGGATATAAAACAAAGGTCTGAGCTTTATTGGAAGAACTTGCGCACTCTTTCCTGGCTGGCTGGGTCGACGGAAGCCAGAATCTGGTCTGCATTTGCGCCGGTCACTGCCACTAGCTGCTTGGCGGATGTGGCCACCCGGGTAGCGGTCTGGCCCTGCAGGGTAGCCGCCTCAAGTGCCTGGACAATGAAACCGAAGACACGGTCAGCCTTGGCAAATACAGCCGGGTTTTGCCTGGTAGTAAAATATTAGCATGAGTATGAGAAAGGGTGGATCAAGAAAACGTACTGGTCAATCAACTGTGCAATAAATGAATAGGCATAGGGGGCAGCCTCTTCATCGTAGGTAATGGGCAAAGTCTCGATCCAGTTGGCCACGACATCCTGGGGAGCCTGAACCTTAGATGGGTTATAGTGCAGGATCTTGGCAATACTGGCAGATGCATTCTCGGTCGCAAACACATTCTCCTCTGTGCGAGATTGCGCGTGCTGTGTAACCTGGAACAAGCTGGGGAGGCTGGCTGCCACAAAGTCGCTCCAGGCGGCACCACCCTTCTGCGCAGCCACACCCACTCCGTACGCTGCCGCCTGACGGTTGGCGGCATTCTCATCTCGCAGACCGGAAGCCAAAGGCTGCATAATGTGGTCCTTGAATGCCCATGACTCTTCGCCACAGAATTCAAGCACATCATCCATGATGCAAAGAGCCCACTGCCGTTGTGTCGGGTCTTGGCTTGTGATGAAAGCGTCGTAGAATGGAATCAATTGCTGCCAGGTTGGCAGGAATGAGTTGCCCTGGTTCTTAAAGATGGTGTGGAATGCCTTGTTCATATCGCTCAATAGGTTTTGATCGTCCTCGACGGCGTATTCGAAGTCTAGGTTCTCCTCGTCACCATCCTCGAGCTCGGCCTGCTCCTCCAGACGTTGCTTCACGCGCATCTGGTAGTCCTCGAGGGTCGACTTTGCCGATTCAATGAAGGCCTGCAAGTGCTGGGGGGTAAGGGAGTTTCTGCCAACCACCTCCACTGACTCGTAGAAGCACTGGTACATCTCAGCCAGCGTGTCAACTGTCGGCTCAGCGCTCAGAACCTCGATGATCTTCTCTGCAACCTTGTTCCACATTTCGGCGAAGCCGGGTGACTGACCACCGTGCTTCTTCTTGTAGGAGTTGAGCAGCTGGGGGATCAGCTTGGCAGCTGACACTCGGACGGGATCGTGGAAGAAAAAGGCAAGACCGGGGACCGCGATCTTCTCCATGGTTTGCAGGACGTAACCCTCGAAGTTCTCCTCGAGAATTTGGGCGTAAATTGTGATCAATTCGATAGCAGTATTCTTGTCCTCGAGAGCACTGGTCTTGATACCGATAATCTTGCCCTTGAGCGGCACCAGCTCCCAGCCATCATCCTGCTCAACCTGTTCGATCTGATCCTCGTCATCCAGCAGCTGAATATCAGCCTTGGCAGCGGCCACGTTTAGAAGAGGCGGCATAACACCGGGGAGATAAGGCACGAAGTCTTGGCCCAGAACGCGGCACATGCGGCCCCAGCAGTGAAGGAGGTATTGTGACTGTGGGTCGTCGGCGTCGACGATGTTTTGCTGAATGTGGCCGAGAATCTGCACGAGGTTCAGAGCATCTTGACCCATCTTCTCCTTGCCGACGGCGAGTGCGATGAGAGTAGCACACTCCATGGCCTTGGCACGAAGAAGGCGGTACTCCTTGCCCTGTTCCTCCTTGAGAACATTGAGCAAAAGAGGCATCAGAGTAGTATAATACTGATCGAAAGCGGCCTCGGCGGAATCCGCAATGGTGGCAATGGTGGATAGCGCCTGCTCCTGCAGATAACGCTTGGGGCTGCGCAATAGATCCAAGAGATGACTGAGAAGGTTTCCGAGGTATGGCTCCAAGGTGCTACGCTCAGCCTCCTCGCAGAAGTTGACGAGAGCGGCGGCAGCGTGGGACTGCACACGCGGCTCGGTAGAGGCGAGAACGGGAATGATGTTAGTGAGGACAATCTCGTGGTACTTCTCCTGCATGGTACCGGCAAAGTCGGTACTCATTTGACCAAGAGCGTTGCAGCCTGCATAGCGGACTCGGGGGTGGGCGTCTTGGAGGGCAGGAACAACAAGGGCTAGGACTTGGTCCAGCTCACCAACCATGAGATCGCGACAACCTTCAGAGATGGCGGAGATGGCCATCAAAGCAGCATGGCGGTCGCGCCAGTTGGTAGATGACATCATGCGAGGAATCCAAGAGAATGCGGGTTGGAGGATAGCCTGTCCACCTAATTTGTTGGCGAGACGATCCATGCACTGCTCACCGGCGATGTGGTTGAGGTCATTCTCTTCAGGCTCGAGCTGTTACTAGTCAGTGGCATGTTAATTATAACGACAGAAATACAAGCACTTACATCTTCAGACGCGTTCCATTCCTCCGCGTCGTCATCATCCGCACCGACATCAGTCATCAGGCTCAGACATTGTGTGACCATTTCCTGTGCGAACTCAGGCTCCTTCTTGCACATATTTGGGGCGTAATCGGCAAAGGTAGCCATCAATTCGAGTGCGTTCTGGCGCACCTGGTCACTGAGCTCCTTGTCGCCAATAACACTAATGCTGAACTTAACCAAGTTGTTGAACATGACCTTGAACATTTTCGGGCTGATTTCAGCCAATTCGATCAAGGCGAGCAGTGCCGAGGACAGCTCCTCGCTCTCAGAGGCCTCCTTGAGAGGAGGAAGGATGTTCAGAAGGTCTGGCATGAGGCCGAAGAACTTAGGCTGGGACTTTTTGGAGATCGACCGGAACAAAGAAGCGAAGGCTTCCATAGCGGAAATTCGCACCTGATGAAATGGTCAAAATTGGATTCGAAGGGCATAGCCAGATGTCGACATACGGAAATATTATCGTCCTTGAAACCCTTGGCGAAAACCTCCACGACAGCGTCTTCGTGCTGCTTCTCAATGATACCGGGGGTGGTCGTGAACACACGGTATGCGGTTTCCCGCAGGCCCGAGTCAGGGCTCTGGCTTGACTGGAAAAGAACACCGAGGAGTTCAGTCCACTGTTCGTCTACACATCACAGGTGAAATCGTCAGAACCAACAGTCCTCATTTCGTCAAAGGGTAGTTCGAATCGCATACCATTATCGGTGTATTGTCGAGCAACCTCGGCCAGTGTGTCTCCAATCTTCTTGCGTACATCGGTGACGGTCTCACTGGTCAGGGAGACCACCAACTTCTCACGAATGGCAATTCGCTGCTCGTTGGGGAGACTCGAGAAAATCTCCTTGTTGTCACCTGTGGCGGGATCCTTTCGGGTTTTTGTTGCGATTCTTCGGAAAAGCACAGCGGAGAAAGCACGCGTCTGTCAAAAGGAGTTTCCCATTAGCTTTTGTCCCAAATCAAAGTGAAGATTCGGCTGTTGGTTCGGTCGTCGGTCGTTTGCAACACCCCTCCTTGGAAGCAACCGCGCCCCTAGAGTCCAGTGCAACTTACTATTGTGTCCTCTGCACCTGCAAGCTGTTCCGCCAATCCCATCAATAGGACGTCTGGTCGGTTCTGAACCCAGTCATTGTTAAGCTGGTCTTCCGCCTGGGATCTGACGACATTGTCGGGTGTGCTCAAGGCGCGGAGCAGCTGAGAAAGCGCGGTGTGGATTTCGGGAGGTAGGAGGGACATGTTGGGCGTGTCTGTTCCCAATTTCCAGACGATCCAAGCAACCCAGTTCTTTCAACCCTCGTAGAAGTGATTTGGTGGGGATAGAGGGGTGGGAACGAAGGGGAGGAGTTTTGTTTTTGGTGGGGCGGGGAGAGAGGGAAAAAGAAGAATTTCTGATTAGGAGAGCGATAGATGGATAGGCCCTTGGGGGGTGAAGAAGAATGAAAGTGCCACTCCAATCACACAACAAGAGGAAAGAAGATTCAATAGAGGATGTCGAGGTCTTCAGATCTGATTCTTTCTCGATAAAATATGTAAAAATTAACCGTACGAATAAATTCTAGGACAATCTACAGAGAAGTCACATAGTGATGATAATCACATCTGGACGCTAAACTAGATGCGGTAATTCCAGGCCACAAGGCCGACAAAGGTCGAACAGACAGAACTAGTTAGTTACCTAGGTAGTTAGTTAACTATCAAGAGCTCAAACATTGTTGTTCCAGTCAAAGATTTATAGGTTATCACAGCAATGGATATATGTGACCGCCAGATCAGAGTCTATCTCGAATAATTATTTGCATTGAAGGCTAAACTAAGGCCGTAACTGTTCACACGAACAGCGGTATCTGAACGCGACATGGAATATCGATATTAGAACAAAACGGGTATGCAACACTTAGGTCGGGAAAAGAATCTACTACGCTTTCTCAGGGTGCTTGATATCCAAGTTGAATGAGTCAAAGGGAAGTATTTGGAGAGAAAAAGAGGGTTTCGGGAATAGACCAAAGGCCAAGTATTTTTTTTTTACCGGCCACTGGGGCGGCTGAGAATGAACACACCCGCAATAACAGCAGCCAATGTGACAATAGCACCAGGAAGCAGCAAGTCGTTGGGGACACCGGCAATAAATTGCTCCTCTGGTACGTGAGAGGGAACGGCTTGCTGCTGGGGCAGGGCCTTGCTCACGGGGGGTTCTTGTGAGGCAGGTTCCTCAACAACGCTTTGCTCTTCGATGGGAGTCACAATCTTAACATGATGGGGTTCAACCGCAGCGGGGATGGGTGGCTGGGCGGGGTCATGGACAAACAGATTGACCTTGTCGCGGTGAGTACGGCGAGCCAGATCGATGGCATCCGTCATGTCCTGATCCGTGGTGATGGAGACGGTATCACCTTCGTTATCCATGTAGCTCAGCGCATATCCAGTGTTGCTCAGGCAACCCTCCTCAACGGTAGCCTCGCCACCAACAGCCTCGACTTCCTTGCCAAGTTTCGCTGTGACTTGCGCCACAAGGTCGGTGACGCCGTTGGTGGTAAGGACGTTCACACGGTGCACTCGGCCACCAGGTGCCTTGAACTTGAAGGGGAATGGAGTAGGAGCTGCTGGTTCTGCTGGGTGGTGCTGAGAAACAACTTCGGAATGCTCATCACCGTGGTGCGATGCTGAGTCGTTAGGAAGAAGACTGTTGTCGTAGCCTGAGCGAGTGAGGTCGGGGCTCATAACTGAGCGGTGCGGGGTATTCGGTTGCTGGCTGTGGCCGCCAGAGACCATAGAGTCTGACTCGTGATCCATCGATAACCAGAACTTGTTCCATGCGGGGCCCTCGTCATCTTGGGTTGACATAGTGTTGATCTGAACATATCAGCCAAAATGTTTGCATCAGACCTGTTACTAGTAAACATACCTGTTCAAGTGTGGCATAAGTGAGCTTCAACACATCCACCATGCCGACGATTTCACCGCCCTCGTTCATCACGGGGAGGTTGAGATAGTGGCCATCTGTTGCAGGGTTAGAATGCTGTGATTTGAATTGTTTGATTGAAATGACTGACCATGCATCTTGCGAAGCGCGGCTTGGATGCTCATATCCGACGGGGCGAAATCGGGGTGAGGAGTCATGACACGGACAACACTGCAAGTGGAAGGGTCGAGGCCAGGAGCAATAACACGAAGAACAATATCCTTGCTAGTGAAGATACCAGTGATGGAGCCTTGGTCCTGGACTAGCAGAGCAGTAGTGTGGTTTTCCTTCATTAGAGCCGCAGCGTCCTTGACGGTAGTGCGGACCGAAACAGTGACGGGCGGCAAGCCATCCAAGACGGTCTCAAGGGTCGGACCAGACATTTTCGATCGCAATGCCTCAACATATTGGATGACTTGCTGCGGCTGACTAGAACCAAGCTCTGTCTGCACACCTTCCAGCGCATCGTATAGCTTGCGAGACGAACTGTATGCGCGTTCCAACTTTTCCATAGCGTCATAGAAGCACTTGGTAATATCCAAAACACCAGAGATATCCTGGTTCTCATCCATGACCGGCAAGTGTCTGAATCCCTTCCGTACCATAAGATCGAGCGCGTCGGTAGCGCTGGTGTCTGTTCTCGCGCACAGCGGGTTCTTGGTCATGATCTCAGAGACAGAGACCTCTCGCGCCTTCAGGCCCATTCCGACAACTCGGAACGCCAGATCCTTGGCAGTGAAAATACCCGCGATGCGCTCATTGTCGTCGGTGACTAACACACAGTCCTCTCTCTTGGCTGCCATAAGCTGAGCGGCCTCTGCGATGCTCATGGCAGGCTTGATCTGGAGGGCCTGGCTAGGCTTCAGGGCGAGCACGGTGCCGGGAGGGGCTTTGCGGGAGTTCCTCGATTTTGCCGGAGCGTTCCTCTTTTTGCTGAGGTCGGCCTCCATTTTGCGGCGGATAGCCTTGTGTCGAGGTTAGCTAAAAACCAAAGCTCAAAATTGAGCATCAGGAGATCACCCCCGCGGGCTGCCATGACGTACCTCATCACGTTTCGACTGGGTTTGTCGCTGTCTGCTACTTGCGGCGCTCATTGTGCCACTTCCGACGTCGCTGGAGGGTGTATTATTTGTGGCTGATGATTCTGGCCTGGGTCGTGGGATGTGGGAAGCGCTGGGATCGTTTCCGAAGTCGGGCAGCCTTCCTCTCCCGATGGTCTGATTGGGCTTTCCCCGAAAGGTGCCTGTGGCCGACATAATAATGCCGAAAAGGGGAAGTCTCAATGAAAAATGGAGAGAAGGAAGGGAGATGACACAAACAAACAAGGATGTCAAGTTGTGAGACTGGTATGGGAGAAAAAGCAAGGAGAATTCCTGGAAAGGAGAAGAAAAATGGGCAGTTCAATAGTCGATCCCAAACAGGGGTGTTTCTCTCGTTAGTCGGGGATGAGGAGCCGTAAACACTGAGTGACACGGTACGATCCGGGCGCTAGTCCCAATTAGGTGGACATCCTGCTCGTGACCCTTTGCACGTGATTCACGTAATTCCCGAGATCTCATAGCCTGATATTTAAGGCATTAACCCCGTGACCCATCTCGCTTAAGGGCTTAGGGCTACCCGCACAACGGAATCCAATCCATCCCGAAAGAGACTTTGTGTGAGCGAGCTTCGACAACCCACTCCCGACAAGTCAACCGTACGCTATCTCCCCCTTTCACCCACAGACCGATACCTAACCATCCACAGAACAAACCGTCAAAATGGTCAAGAAGAGGGCGAACAAGTAAGACCAACAAATTCCCCCATCTCGGCGAAAGCAGTATCCCATTCGACATCTCCGCAATGACGCCGACGGAAGCGCACACGACATACATCTCCAAATACATCGAAAATCGCGACCTACGCACATTGCCGGACAAGAATGGGAAAACTGGATTTCGATCGATTCGCAACTTCAAAGGGGCACGGTAACTAATTGATTTGATAGCGGCCGCAACAAGAATGGCCGCGGCCACGTCAAGCCTGTGCGTTGCTCCAACTGCGCTCGCTGCACCCCCAAGGACAAGGCCATCAAGCGCTTCACCATCCGCAACATGGTCGAGTCCGCTGCCATCCGTACGTGACAACTCTCCCGATACCTCGAATCTACGACAAGATCCCCAGATCTATGACTACGACTCATTCGAGGAATTCAAAGAAGAACCAGTGTAACTAACGATTCTTGCTCTACAGGTGATATCTCCGAGGCTTCCGTCTTCGCTGAGTACTCTGTCCCCAAGATGTACCTGAAGCTCCAGTACTGTGTGTCCTGCGCCATTCACGGCAAGATTGTCCGGTACGTTTCCACCGATTCTCCTCGATACTCAATCGCCTTCCATGTACTAATCTCTCGCCAACAGTGTTCGCTCCCGCGAAGGCCGCCGCAACCGTGCTCCCCCTCCCCGTATTCGCTTCAACAAGGACGGCAAGAAGCTCCAGCCCCCTACTGCCGCCAAGGCTTTGTAAGGAGATGAATGTCGCATGACAAACAAAATAAAATGGAACTAGTTTGAAATGAATTCTTTTATTTTGTCTTCACTCTTCGCATTGGTGTTCTTCTCGACCGGATCGCAGGGGTGACGCTCGGTCCCGAAACTGCCGGCCTGCTCCTACACTGAGGATGAAAAAGATGGCACCAATTGTGCGATGAAGGCAGGTTGGATGCCTCTTTAGCATTTTGATGGTTATGAGCCCGTTGACGACGGCTTGTTATGACTGGGAGGATGGATGGTTCAAGTCCAAATGAGGACTTAGAAAATATCAAAAATTCCTACAAAAACATTATCGCATGACGTAGAAGTCTTGAAAGTCGTATTGCTGGGTATCTTGCTAAGTACAAAATTCATGGGTACAAGTACCCCTTCTCGAAATAGTTTCCATACATATCTACCGTTCCAGTCCGCACCTTTGGCATCGGGTTCCGCACGACCTTCACCTCTCCCTTCCAATGACCTTCGACATAATGTGATATAGAAATATGGGGTGATGATGGCATCAGGAGGCCGGAAGCACCCGTGCCAAGCGTGCTTCGCCGTCCTCTTTCACGACGAACCACTTGTTCATACTCGGCCTTCTTGCCACGACGAAATGCCGCAAGCTCTGCCACAAGGTCAATCATCGGGACCTGGGATTGCTGTTTTCTGTCTATTGTAAGCCCTGGTGGACCGGAGTTCGTGGCACTTTGGGGAAGGTGACGCCCGAGTCGAGGAGAATTGGGTGAATGCAACGAGTCATCATCCGAGGGTGTAAGCGAGACCTTTTCGTTAAGGACAGCCATTGGAAAGTATTTTCCCGGATCATTTTCAGGGACTCCACACTCTTCTTCACCGAAGAAGCTGAAATCATTGGTGGCTGCTGACCAGAGATTCTCTGAGTCGCGGTCACCAGTGCTTGAATGGCCTGTGGCATTGTATTGGTTTCCGGGTTTCCATGATGTCAATTTGGATGTATTGACAGGCGTGATTTCGAGGACTAGACGTCGCAAGCCGAATAGAGATCGTGACCGCTGCTGTTCGGCTTGAATCCGCGCTTGCCCTGGTGGGAGGGAGTAGTCTGATCCTGCCTGTAGAGTTGCTAGCAACGCTTCGTTTGAGCAGGCAGTAATGAACCGAGTGAGAGCAGAGATGATTGATGAGTTGGGCGTCACATGTGAGGGTACATCTGTCAGTACCAAAGATTCCATGTGAGGAATATGTGATGGGTGTAGGTAAGAGAACCGGCTTTCTTTCCCTCCTTGGAGTGGCATTGATTTATTACGTGGTCGCTTTGCTAGTAATTCCTGTACTATCTGTGCGGGAGCATCGTTCAGCGAGATTGGGGAGCTGCATTGTATGGTAGCCTGGAGAGAGAGATCTGTCGCAAGCGTGTCGCAGCCTGAAGACATTGGAATGGATGATAAGGTGCTTCCCTTAGTCTGCTCTGTATCCCATGTGTCTGCCCCGGAAGCACCAAAGTCCGTACTTCCATTACCGCTACCGTGTATAGGGATGGGCTGGACAACCTCCGGAGCAAAAGCTGGCCCACGCCTGACTGACGGTGCAGGCTCATCCGCGTAGGCTGTCAATGGACGGGAAGTCTTTACCCCTTTTTCCGTTGAAGATGAGCCGATTGAGCCAATTCTTGATGTATCCGCAAGTTCAAAAACAGCTCTTGTATCTTCGGGCAACTCATAAACCTGCTGGGAGGAATCCAGCTCAAATTGCTCGACTTCGCGAGGGCTCTCTTGCGCCGAAACCTCTGGAAGAAACTCATCATTGGGTGCAGCGTCTTTAGTTGGTGGCTGGCCAGTGAGAACAGCATGATGCCCTCGTAAATAGACCAAATTGTCCCCTGCAATCTTATCAAGTATTGGGACTAACTTCTCAGCTCCGGGATACTTCGTGTTCCCATAACCATGCGTCTGATATGCCTTGTCTGGAGTTCGTATGCTACCAAAATCCAGAGCGTGTAGCCGGGACGAGACCAGAAGACTCGCCACAGCTTCGACAGATATTTGATTGCCAGTGATATAAAGATGGGTGATTCCTATGTGCGGCAAGTCTTCAACCCATGGATGGATTAAAACAGGCTGAGCGAGAAGCTTCGCAAACTGCTCATCCAAATCTGGCCGCTTGAAGAAGTCCGAGCTAGACTCATTGATTGCAAAGTGGGAGAAAGGACCTGGCGAAGCTGTGGCCTGCCTTGGACTTTGTTGCCTTTCGCTCCCGTCTAGCGGGAGAAAGGATTCCTGCAGCAGGGGGCGAATTGCCATGTCAGTGAGCATGTTGTCTCTCAAATCCAGCCAACGGACTCGTCGTCGAATCGCATTGGCTAAAAGCTCAGCATCATTGTCCTTCAGCCCGATTCCACGCAGTTTAAGTACCCGGAGAAACGGCATCTGAGCTAGCGTAGACAGTACATTGCGGTCTCGTGCTGGAGTGGTGTACGAAAGATCCAAGTAGGTTAATACCGGAAACAAGAGGAGAGTTTGTGCGAGGCTTGCAGAAGTGGTATTCGGCTCACGTTCAGCCAACAAAAGCCGTACATTATACTGGCTGGACCTCTCGTGGGTTTTCAATGCTGTCATTGCATGGTGGTCAAAGAAAGGCAACCTCGAGACCATCAGACACTGGAGACATGGTAGGTATTCGAGTGTGTCCCTCAGCCAGCCAGGTCGTGGACCACCATATATTTCCGAGAGAGCGGGTGGGAGATGAAGGGTATGGGTCAACGCCCGCACCTCTTGCCGGGCATATTTGAGTGTTCTTCGGAATCGAGTGAGAGCCGCTGTGTCATCCGGTCAGGTATTGCTTTTTGAGCAATCGCCGTTGTTCCTGATTTCACTTACTGTAGACAGCGTCGTTATCTGTACCAAAGTGAGATGCAGGATCCCCCCAGAGGAAAGGCATAAATAGACCATGCCATCTGTGACAGACTAAGGATGCGGCGCATAGGTCGCTGGAAGGGATGTAGCGAGCAATAATTGTCCAAGCATCTCTGTCCGTTGCAGATTGGTAAGACGGAGGAATGAGATCCATGTTTACTATGTTATTGAATTCTTGATTAAAGACATTGTAGCTTTCAAAGAAGGTGGAAATCCCAGGGGTAGTTTGGCCCCATGAGTTAGTTGCCCGACTCAGCCACACAGTTTTACCAAAGCCTTTTGACATACATGTACCTAGACCAACTACGGAGTAACTAGTAACTAACTAGTTATTGATCTCAGCATTTTGACTCTTCTTGCTTTATATTGTTTCTGTCATTTTCGCATTTCTGTCTGTCAAAGTGGCGATTTGGTATTGAGAGATATGACGTCACTTCATAATCTATGAACAGGTGGGGGATCTATTAAGCCCGAAACGATATTAGGGACGGTGTATATAAGAATACTTTGACTTGTTTCTAGATGGATATAACATTTGATAACTAAGAGTTGCAATTCTAACATTCCCGTTTGAATCGGCAACCCATTTCGTCGCGTCCGCACGAAGTCGAGTCAGGCTTTCGGATACTCCTGTCTCAATCACTACTGTGGGCCATCCTATCGCACGGACCGGCGCTGGGCAGCGAGAGGGTGGGACAAATGCATTATCAGGCCGTTTGCCTTTGGAGGTGGTGGGCTTGTAGGTCGTCGTTCCAACCTATTCTGAATCGAGCCAGTCCAGACCCATTGTAGTAAGCGCATCATTCACAGACAGCACGAGCCTTTGGGTGAGTGGACCACGGGACATTTTTGTAGCGTTAGATCCTTTAGGACGTCTAGCTCTCGATGTTTTCGTGGAGGAGCGGCCTGTCGTTGTCGAACCTCAGGGCGTTGAACCTCGGTTCCTTCAATAGGAATCTGCAAATAGATTCGCATGATCGCCTTCTTATTGCTATCTGCCGCACTGTGGCAGAGATATTTGAGCACGGCAAAGGGAGGCCCCGCGCTACCATCACGTGGCCACTCTGTCATTTGTTGAACATCCTCGGTGAGCTTCTCCTCGAGAACCCACGTTTGGGGTGATGGTGTGTTGAAGGTAACTTCAGTACCAATGTAAAGTTCAGAGCATGCGAGACTAGACATTCTAAGTTTCATGATGCTGTCGGGATGACTTTTATCAGACCATTCGTGCCATCCCATTGAAACCGGTAGTTGATACCGCTAAGGGAATCATGATGTTCATCGAGGCGCTTAATGGTTGTTTGGGAGAGGCCAAGAACAAGAAGCCATTGATTTGTGCTTTCTTGTTTGTCAAGAGAAAGAATAACCTTGTTTTCAGCGGCACGAAGACGCTTCGTGGAGCTAAACACCCGAACAATGTGGTTATCAGGTAGAGCAGACTGAAGAGATAGATCGGCAGGTGGATCCACGTCACGTTGATCACCTCCTTTTTGAAAAATTATTGTGGAATCTACGAGATTATGATTATGGAGAAACCATGCATGTAGATTCGTAGTGTAAGAAGTGGACAGGAGGTTGAAGAGAGAAGGAAGAGGAAGAGAAACTATCTACTACAGATGTGGATCTGTCCACATGTGGGCCCTGGGCCTCAGGCACCCAACAAAAATATACCTGAAATTAAGCCCTGCAGTACCTTTTGTGTTAGTAAGCCATACAAAAGATACTTAATTTCTAGATTTATATAACATGCTTTTTCTTAGCCCTCAAACTAGCTAAAGTAATAGAAAGTATAAATATATAGTACGAGTCTAGATTAATTGATTTAATATTTGTATTAATTATTAGCATTTAATATGGAGGAAGAATAATTGTTTAGAAATAGCACACTATATAGAGTGTATAATGGTTAGATACCTAGATAATTTCTTTATTTTAGTATACTTAATATTACTTAGTTAGTTATCGAAGTTTAAGTAACTAATACAGACTTACTTTATACTATCTATATCTCCCTATATTTGCCCTAACTGGTTCGATGGCTGAGAAAAAGTGTGTTATACTAACGGGGTACCTAAGTACCTTTCGTATTGGTAAGTCATATAAAAGATACTTATTTTCTAGATTTTGCGTTAGGTGGGAATTTTTGACCTGGTGTTGGGCGCTTGGCACGGCTATTGAATATATAACAATATGATCTTGAATTCTTCCCTCTTCGATTTTAGAAGGCATTAATTTTATTAACCTTATAATCTAGGCATTCAGACATCTTTAAGCATCGGCGGATTATAATATTTGGATTGTCTTTTTATTATAATCTTATAAAATAGTACTACTAAGAAAGGGAGATTATCAACAATGCATCAAAGCCCAAACGATTCTTGCTTGAATCCCCCATCGCAATACACGCATATACATTGACATTCACTGCTGTACTCCTAGTGTGACCCATACCATAATGAAGATCATAAATGGTCTCCAGCTGCCTGCCCCATGATTGCACATATATTGGCTGTCACGTTCTCTCTCCCACTTCGTTGGCTGAGGTCAAACCAGGGCGTAGAGCTCACGTATAAGAAATGTGTGGGTGCAACACTCTCAAAATCACCAATGTAGTCATCACTGATGTCAATTTGGAGGAAACACATGTAATGCTGTGTAGCATTGATAACGATGACGCTGCCTTTGTTGTCAGTTTTTATCGAAGTATGTATATGTAAGCACGATCTAGTAGCGCTGGAATAGCCCACCTTTGGGGTTCGTTTCCACTTTTATCGGACAATTTGACCGCTAGTGCTTCACAAATCATCTGTGCAAAACACTTATCCGAGATAATAGGTTGGCCGTTTTGTAGACACTGAAATCGTGTCTTGGCCTCCAAAATTGCTATGTGATTTTTGACAACAATAAAGCCTCTACCTGGCTCTTGCTGTCGCAAACAGAGGCCACCATCATCAATAGCAACTATCTGCCGCCTTTTCTCAGTAGTAGCCGTGAGTCGCGTTTTGGCGTCTCGAAACTCTACCACAGTTGGGCTCCAGGCAGCATTTTGAGGCGGAGCAAAATATAGTATATGTCGAATAACGCATGATGCGAGTCGCAAAGTATCGTCTTCCAATATAATACCTAAGTAGTGTGTATCGCGGTCAACATAGCCTAAAGAAGACCCCTGGGAGCCATCATAGGAGCCATCTTATGGTGGACTACTGGACCCAATTTGGATCCTACTAGAGTCGACAAAATCCGTTTGAATTGTATCTCGTCTAGGTCGCTTTGGTATCCTTGGATTAGTGTTGTCGTCGCTGTCAAGTTGGTCTTCGTCGATTTCGCTTCCTTCCTGGAAATCAGTCAGGCCTTTAGCGCGTCGGTCCCGACTTCCTTTGAACATAGCCATTGCCGCCCAGGTTTGAGCTAGAGAGATGCCACAGTTAGACCCCCGCACCAAATAGTGCTCGCTTTGAGCCATAAATGTCAAATTGGGACCTTGCAAGAATGCTCTGATTTCGTCAGATGATGACTGTATATCAGATGCCATGCTCCATTGTGAAAGAATCGGTAGCACGTTGCGCTGTGGTTCCCGTCGTACTACACGACATGCAAGCAGATGAGACCGTCCCCAGCCACTGGCAGCCACATTTTGGAGGTCGGAAAAGGGTTTTCCATTTTCGGCTTGGCAACGAGCCTTGAATGCTGATTCCGAGGTGACACTGGTGAAATATGGAGCAGGAGCCATACTAAAAGAAAAGCAAACGGGGGTAATGGAGGGAGGAGATGTTTAACCAAGAGATTACTATTTATAAGCTATGTAGTTACCTAATCAACGCTAGTTAACTAGTTAGCGCCCTAGTTATGTGGTAACGTTGTGCCAAACCACTCTGGATCCGATAAGCCTTCCGGAGTAGTCTGTATAGAGAACCGGATACTAGGGGTACTTCGTACTGTGTACACCGTATAGCGGGGTGGAAGAGGCACCGCTGCTTAGTCGGACGGAAAATCACCCGCTATTTACCCGCTAGACCAAAAAGGTGCATACCTTCTTAGTAAGGGTATTTTTGGTAAGGGCGGTTAGGCTAGGCGGTGCAAATACTGTCGGTATTATTATGTATTGTCTCCGAGTTCCCAGATTTCCATTCTTATCACCTCTTTTGTCTACTTCATAATGGCAGCCGATGTTCGATCAAACGCGCTTCATGATCTCATGCGCCATCATGGCTTCCTTGTCAACCCACTCCAATGGACTTCCCGTCATCTGGATATGGTGGGGTGTCGATTCGAACACGTTGACTCTGCCCCTGTTTGCGCCAACTCTTCTCTAGACGACGGTAGGACCGATCATGATAGAAAAACTTGCCCAAAGCCACCCAGCAATGCAGAAGTGTTCGCAAGAAAACCATTTTATATCGTAAAGTGTCATGGTCTGGACTGTATCTTGGTTGGCGAGCAACGCGCATTCGAGTGCCATCGGTAAGAGATACCTCTAACGAAGGGGTTGATGGTATACGGGGTACAATGACTGATGGCCTTACTGAGCAGCAAAGGACCTTACTTTTATTTTCATGGTCGGCCTATTCATCGAACAGACTATGTCACCTTTCGTCGCTATGGGCAACCCAATGATCACATCCAGAACGGTTCATCCCCACTAGTAGGCTATGTGCACTACCCAAATATCAGCGGTGACCGGAGAAATCAGTTTGAACCTTGTCCAGGCCCAAGGGGGGGCAACTAATCATGTTGGCGCGAGCCTTAGTCGGAAGCGACTCGCTCAGATAGTCCCACAGGAATGGACTGAGGATCCCTATTTCGTGTGTCTCTTGCTAGCTCTTGCACAGCTTCAAGAGCGCAAGGCGAAGCCATCAAAACCAGCCGCCTATATAGTAAGCATGTTTTGTTCTCAGTCTGCCTGGCCTCCGCTGATCTACTTCCAGTCACGTCTTCTTGTAACCAACAGAATGCATGATGAATACATTTACCTTTACGAGGCTGAAATCACCGCCGAGCTTCTAAATGCGCTCAAGAACCCGAATAATGCGACAAATTCCATAGCTTGGCCCACGATTTGGCAGAGAAAACTCCCATTCGAGCCGTTTGATACCTTTGGCAACCGACTTGTGGCTGAGCTAGTGACCTCCAGCCCATTTCGCTGCCACCATCCCTCAGGTCCATCAGATGATGTGAATGGTGACATTATGGGCCATGGTACGAAACGGCAGCATGAACAAACAGGCAGCATGGCATACAAGAAACAGCGAATATAATAGAGACAATAGAGCACTGTAATGATAATAATGGCAACTCGAACTTCAACGGACAAGCACCCTGTCCAGAAATTAGTTCTTCTCTCTCTCTCTCCCTCCTCCCTGTGCAATTGATGACTTTCCAGTTCAACCACTAACTAGTTACTAGTCTCTAAGACATATGTATGAGACTAGACTTCCAAACTAATCTGCTGGCAACTTCCTCGTAACGGCGTTAGCCGGTTTAAGAAGCATCCCTCCAGCGGTATCAGTCTTAGCTACACGCGCTTTTCCCCATTCATGCACAGATTGGTAGTCCCGACAAAACTGATTGGTGCTGAAGTCAGGCCATGGATAATCCCATCCATCCACCCAATCATACGTAATCAGGTGCATGTCTGCCGAACACATGAGAATCTGGCGGATCATTTCGATACAATGATCTATTTCCATGTGATTAGTCCATATACATCAACGGTCTTGCAAGATAAACCGCACCAACATGTTTTCGTGCACTTGGCTCTGTGAAGAAATCTGGTTCATGAACAGTATAGTAGTCCAGATAGGTGGCTTTCCGGATAACGTTGAGACAGTGCATTTGGTGGAAACCCCCTATGCTTGCCATGTAGCCACCGTCAGGTAGAACGACGGAGCTGTTACGGAGCTTCTTGATTTTCTCGATTTCATGACGAGATACCGACATGGCCGAATCTGAAGGGTTAGTAGGGCTGGAAATATGACGTGAATAAGCTATACATACTAAGCTCCAAGCTTTCCCATGCGGCATCCACGTCGGCATTTCCACCCCCACGCCAGGCGGATCGTGCTCCAAACTCACCCGAGAGCTCAAGGGGGGGCTTTCAAACCGCAGGTTTGCACAGCAGTCTCTGGTCAATGAATTAGTACTGAAAGTTCCGAGGTTATATCTGTATATTCATTTGCATACCATATTCGCGAGTGAATAGTGGCCCAATTGTCTGCTTCCTTATTTGGATAGCTCCCAGTAGAAGCGTGGCTGATATGCATACAAGAATGAGGTGAACCAGCCATGGGATGGCTTTTCTTAGATTACTTGGTCGGGGAGAGGTCTCTCGAGTCGACTTGATGTTATTTTCGCTTTCTGGGTCTGAAGTGCCAAGCTGAAAATACTTGGTCTTTGACCAACGCTTCGGTAGCTCTAATTTCATTGTTATAATAAGAGAAAAGGGTTGGCCGAAGAGACTGGGCAGCAGTGAAGTACCTGAGGACCCGCTGAGAGAAGCGACATAAGTACTAGAACTGGCACGATGAAACCCTATGGAATGACGGAATATAGCCCCCGAATGGCGCTAAATCTAGCTTGAGCAATGCTGGCAGTGCTGTGGGGCCGAGGCCAGTTACGGCGCGGAGGGCTATCTTCGTCTCCACGCCAGTGCATGATCAACCAACTCCATGCCTCGAATTTATGGCTTTTTAGGTATAGCATGGAATGTAACCCTTAGGAAAGTAATTTCGATTGGATCTTTGCACATACGTGCCGTTTCAACTACGTTAAAAGCTTGAGGACCCTGAACACCTATGAGATAATTATGCGTTGCAGTCACATACGCATTGGGTGGGCATTACTGAGATTAATAATAAAACATAGTTATTCTAATATGATGTAACCGCGAGAGCTTAGATTTGACTATATCTGAATCTTCCACTTCATACGTAATGTTAAGACCCATACACTGGTCGCCATCAACCCCGTCTTGATCTTGAGCTTTGGGGCGCATCTGATACGAAGAGTGCACTCATTGAAACGCTGAAACGAGAAATATGACGGCCGTCATATCGAATATGCTTAAGCTGTGTCCTTGTATTTCCCGTAGGCAGAGTTGACAATGGAGGAGACATCCTCGTTGGGTGCGTCACGCTCCTCCTTGTATTTGCCGTAGGCGGAGTTGATGATAGAAGAGACATCCTCGTTGGGTGCGTCACGCTCCTCCTTGTATTTGCCGTAGGCGGAGTTCACGATGGAGGAGACATCCTCATCAGATGTAGCCCGCTCCTCCTTGTATTTGCCGTAGGCGGAGTTGACGATGGAGGAGACATCCTCGTTAGGTGCGTCACGCTCCTCCTTGTATTTGCCGTAGGCGGAGTTCACGATGGAGGAGACATCCTCATCAGATGTAGCCCGCTCCTCCTTGTATTTGCCGTAGGCGGAGTTGACGATGGAGGAGACATCCTCGTTAGGTGCGTCACGCTCCTCCTTGTATTTGCCGTAGGCGGAGTTCACGATGGAGGAGACATCCTCATCAGATGTAGCCCGCTCCTCCTTGTATTTGCCGTAGGCGGAGTTGACGATGGAGGAGACATCCTCATCAGATGTAGCCCGCTCCTCCTTGTATTTGCCGTAGGCGGAGTTCACGATGGAGGAGACATCCTCATCAGATGTAGCCCGCTCCTCCTTGTATTTGCCGTAGGCAGAGTTGACAATTGAAGAGACGTCTTCCTTGTCAGAGGCAACACTAGTGCCTGTTTAGTTTAATGATTAGAACTTCATTGTTGACAAAAGTACTATAGACGGAAAGACTTACTCTGCAGAGGAGCGGCAAGACCGAGGCTTGTGAGGCTTAAAGCCAACGCAATGTTCCGGAAGTGCATAATGATTGATTGAGATACGGAGTACGTAGTAGGTATGTAGATTGAGGTATTGATCAAATGACAAGCCAAAAAGAATAGAGCAGTTGTAGATAAAAACACGGTCTATAGTTGCTTTATATTGCTTTTAATCCTGATGTATCAAAGTTTCAAAGACTCTACTCTCCCGGCCCCCATTCAGCGCTTGGTCTATCTCGTTAGTGCCAAACCTGAAAGGAAAAGTTCCATCACGACACCGTGTCAGAATCCAATAGTATTGCAGAAATGAACTATCATAATATGCAGAAATATTGCGTCATGACCAGGATCCTTGCTGGCGGGTCATAATCTGTTTCACCGAGTACAACGAAGCATCCTTCAAATGAAAACATTGAGGGGTTATAAGACATGACCTATGGGATCATAATGGGTCCCGCTGAGCGAAGTGGGAAGCTGTTCTATAAGCGAGGACATCTGGTAGTCATCAAGTGGCTTATAGGTCCTGAAACCACGAGGGGGCGGCTTTAGGAAACAACTGGCTACAGGGACCATATTGCAGCATCTTCGTTTAGGAAATTCTACACGCAAGCGAGCCTTTCTTGAAGATCCGGTGACTCAGTACGACTCACATAACTCCGGCCAGCTTTTGGAAAGAGTTACTTCAAGTGGCGCATTTTACATGCGAGTGATCAAATTCTCTTGTCAATTCATTCAAAAAAGACCACACAAGCATGCATGAACAAGAGAATAACTCCCGGGACTACGTATCTTCTGAACATGAAGATGGGGACCGGAGCATCCTGAAAGTATCCGAAGAAGATGGCTTTTTATTGGACGGTATTTTAGAGCAGCCATCTTCAAATTCCTTTTGTCGAAAATGGCTGGGGCACCTGATTTTCACGGCCATATGGATAATTTCGTTGCTCATTGCAGTCATTCTGTTGAGGCATGATGGTAATCAAGCAGAGGTTGGTCTTGCTAATGTTTTTGATACTGAATTGCGTGAGTTCGAAAGTCCATCCCGATTTGGCTATTTCTTTGGAGTGTTACTGAGCCCCAACCAGGCCCTATGCAGTCAGCATTGGAAGTCCAGAAAATCCGCTTTTCTGGTAACTTGATATTTGATGACAATGGGACTCTAATTGAGCAATTCTGGGACCATGACAGTCCCAAATACACGGGCGAACCAAGCGATGAGCTAGATGCTCGTTGGAAAGATCTTTTTAGAGGTGAGCTAGGACTGTCTACTTCCTTAAATACTTCCGCGTGCACATATTAACACTGAAAAGTTGATGGTGTTGATCTCCATGGCACTGAGGCCGATACAATCCGCGGCCAGACCTTCGAAAAGCCTGGCGGGTGGTCAATTGTGGGCGTTGATGTATTTCATCAACTACATTGCCTGGTGGGTTAGAATTGAGATTTCTCGTTCATATTTGGATCAGTTACTCAACGATACTATAGAACATGCTTCGTCAAGGATTGCGTCGGGATTACTATACCGAGCACGATGAAGAGCCAGCTTACACAATCCACATGAGTAAGTAACTGTGGCGGATTTAAAATTATTTGCTCTAACCACAATGTACAGATCATTGCCTCGATTATCTTAGGCAAGCTGTCATGTGCAACGTGGATATGACCCCTCTCCCTGTTCACTGGGACGAGAAGGAGGATCGGCCTTTGCCGGACTTTGAGGTGGAACACACCTGTAGAAACTTTTGGAAAGTAAGAGACTGGACTATAGAGCGAAGTGCACATAAGCACAAGTACAAGGATGATGACGCCGCTTGAGACTAGGGCATCTTGGATAGAATGGGGCTGTTAGCTGTCAAACCATCTAGTTTCATCATTATCAATGGATTAATCAAATTTTACAACAAGATAATTGAGGTATAGCATCCTGTTGCAAAGTTGAAGTAGACCGACCCGTCGGAGATTACGGAGTCCGACCTTCAGAAGGCAGGCCTATACAGTCCCTCAAACTGAGTGGGCTGTAAGACCAATCTTGCGTGATATATGCATGATGCATCTCTGCCGTCCATTAATTAGCAGATCAACCGTTACATTAATATCCATCGTGGGGTCGATTTCCGTCTCTGCTCCGCTCCTCGGGGAAGCCGAATGGCATGGCGTTGGATCTGCAAGCGCCGCCCCGGGGGGCCGCTACAACATCCACCACCTCCACATCGAGCAGAGTATACGGAGTATGTCTGCATATATATCTATTATTGGTTGTTTTGTCCCGTCCGGGATTTACTCTATGCCAATTCCAGCCTGGCCCAACATATGGCTGAATATGGGACAATAAGCGTCAGCTATCGCGAATGCTGTCAGAGTAGAGCCGAAAGCTAAGAACTTTTGCCATAGTTGGCTCACAGAGTTTCTCTCCTCTGTCGGTTCCCTCTTGGCGGCTGGGGGAACTTGTCTATGCAGTTCAGCTCAAGTCAAACATCTCATAGCATATCCAATGTCGGAGATTCTAAATTACCCATCAGAGTGGTGGAGGAGTGCCACCAAAGGCTCGTGGTGGATTATACCACCCACGGACGAGGACGAAGCGGAAGAGAATTTCTTAAAAACTCGCCCAAAACGAAGATACCGCCATCATCCACAGTACATATGGCCGTGGATATTATCTACTCTATTTTTTGCGAGTACGACATTGGTTTTATTCATCAGGAATTGGCAGATGAACACATCTCAGACCTCGATAAATGGACCTAGTCGACCAACAGATCTCGGTATGGCCCCATTTTATCAAGTTTTAAGCACGTTGAAGTGATATTTCGAGACGCGACTTCTGACATAAATCTGGCAATGAAAAGAGCCAGCTCGAGAATGGGCGGCAGAACACGAAATTCAGTTTGGAGGTGGACTTGTCTATAACAAACAGGGAAAGCTACTTCGCGAGCCCAATCTCAACGGAGAAGAGTGGGTTGGATCTCCATCACCAGAAATGGACGCATTATGGGATCATATCGAGGCAGGTAAGACTACAGATGTACACCGAATGGCTCAAAATATCTATGACAGTTGCTCACGATAAATGTACAAATAGGCTCAATAATCTTGCTTGCGGATTCCGAAGCCGATATGGTGCGAGATAAAACGACGCTTCTTGATGGTTATTGGGTCACTGGGCTAGATGTAATACATCAGGTTCATTGCTTGGTGAGTGTTCGAATAAGTCGAGTACTTACTGTGCCCCAAGCTTACTCGTATTGGTGGGTAGAATAAAGTGCGCAAGGCATTGTATCCCGAGTACTACCACCCTTTACAGTCGAATGAAACTGAGAAGCTACATGTCGGTAAGTGGATTTCCCATTTGTTTCTGGCTCGATGTTTCATTTGCAGTTGTTGTAACTAACTTTATCTCTTTCAGAACATTGTCTAGATTATGTCCGACAAGCTGTAATGTGCAATGCGGACATATCTCCCGTGACGCATACTTGGTATGAAAGTGCGCAAACGTTCGGTCCTGACTTTCGAACTAAACATACATGTCGGAACTTTGAAGCTCTACTGCAGTGGTCCTTGGACAGGTCTACTGAAGTTACAAAGGCCAAAGGCACTGGGCCTGAAAATGCTCAAAACCCCGACGTTGTGATGCCTGGGACATTGAAGGGCCAAAATCACAAAGAACATGGAGAACATGTTGGACATTGAATGAACCTAATGTGAGGCACAAGACCTGAACAAGTAAACATCTGAAAAATATGAAAACAAATTGATCTCAAAATACCATGACAATATTGTCTTCGGTGTAATCAGAGGCATTCTAATCCGCATCAGACCCCGCTGAGGGCTGGGTTTCATCTATATGCATGAGCTCCTGATCCCGGACAGGTTCCAAAATGAACAATCCAAGTAGACAGAGCCCACACCATGCTGCTAAGCCAAAGTATGAGAGCCCAAACCAAACCCCATTAAACTTCATACCAAGTGCAAAAAGCCACGCTAATGCCGGCCCTGCGAACAGAGAGCCGAGAGTTTCAGAGATCCCGATCATCGTATTCATCTTCGACTTGTCGTGTGATGGCATATAGCTCATAGCTATGGATCGGCATATGGCGCTCAAGCCAGCCCCTGATGTCTGAAGTATCAAGCCAAATATTACAAGGCCTATATGCGAGGCTCCCGTAAAAAGGGCCCCGAGTATCACCAAACAAGCCGAGACGCGTCCAAGCATTAAGTCTTTGACAGCTGGCCGAAGGTGTTTTGAAAGCAGCTTTGATATCACAGGAAACAAGACAAGTAAGACGAGCATCTGAGCGATTCCACGAGCTGTAAGGAGATAGCCAACGTCTGCGAAAGTCCAGTCAAATCGCTTGCTCACATATTGCATGAGCAGTTGTCCATAGGCTAGACCCTCGGGGTTGACCCTGAGATAAGTGATCAGAATCAAGACAATTGGCAATGAGTGAAGCCTCTGGATGGATGTTTTGAGACCAGTCCAGGACTGTGAAAAACGTGACTTGAACGTGGTAGGCGAAAGCTCTCCCCGTTCTGAGACATATCTCTCGGAGGAGTCATCCCTGAGTGTGATCACCTCAGGAAGGAAGACCAGCAAGCCCATACTGGCGGGAACCATCAAGGTACCAATGAGAATAGGGAGCCATGGTGAATATTTTTCCATCAGTTTAGAAGAGATCGCCGGACCAGCTGAAGATCCGGACAAACTTCCAAATGCCATCACAAAATACGAAATTGTTCTGGATTTATGACTGTCAGTGGGTTCAAGACCGCTTGGTATCAGAAAGTAGCATACATATCTGTGTCAGGCACCAGATCTGAAGCCAGAGAATATAGGCCGGCATTGATAACAGTGCTTCCACCACCGATGAAAGTGAATAGAGGGCCCAAGAGGATGTATTCGATCGCCAAAAGATTAGAGAACTTCAGGACAGCCAGAACATAAGCAAGGTACAACACGGTTCCCGTGTTGGATAGATAGATGATCGGTTTGCGACCGAGCCTAGAATGATATTCAACCATTTACATTGTTGTCCCCTCTAGCAGATAGTTTGCTGGACTCACTTATCAGCCAAGACACCGTAAGGGAATGCAGCAATGAGACCTATTATGACAGATGAGTTCGCCGAGACCTTCCGTCAAGGTACCAGTCACTGTGGTTGACATACTGGTCATGGACTCTATCACTCCAAATGAAGCGTTGAGATACGCAAGCTCAGATTGAATCCTGTCGGCCTTGCATATTGCTCTATCGATTGAGTCTTGTCGCCCAATTTCACCTAAATACCGGTCGCACAAGTTGTCTTCCATCAGCTGGGTCAAGGGAACTTGAACGATCGCAGTAGCTCCGGACAAGGAAAATATACATAGGGATAAGAGAAAAGTCGCGAGGTGAGGGTTTTGCGGGCGTAGTGATGATCTGGGCCTACGCGGTCCCAATAGCAGAGCGGTCTCGTTTTCATGATGCATCGAGGAAGGGAAGAGCAAATAAACACTAGGCTGCCAAAATTCAACAGAAAGTAATCACTGGAGAGGAGATTTACAAAAGAAAGGTTCCAACATGGGGTTGCAAGCTGTCCCGATCCACAGATGCCAAATAAATGGCCTGCGACAGGGATGCAATCACGGCATCCTAAGGACTTTTGCGCGATCACTGCTGCAGGTGTTATCTTACAGCTGAATCTACAATGGCCCTCAAATGCTGACACCTCAAATGCTGACAGATTGCGGCAGTCCAATTTGAGGCCTATATTTTCAATAAGCCTATATTTTCAATAATACACCAGCGACCTGATTTTTTCAACTTCAACTTGGTTGTTCGTAACAGTGCCCCAAAAGCACAGGGCTGACTCAGCTTGTCTCACATCTGTTTTTCTAACTGATAGGGGACTATTTAGAAAATACCCATTGCGCCATTTCCACCCAGAGATGGAAAGCCCAGTTGCCTACAGGAAGCATCGCGGAATACTGGGTCTTGCGACAAACCAGATATCGCGCTTACACCCTGCTCACCAAGTTCCATCTTACGCAGCCTGGCTTGAAGCACCGCACACGTATCAGCCCAGGCACAGATATTACCCGCAAGACCTTCAAACAAACTGTAGGGCTCATCAGGCAAACGATAATCTTTGTCGGAAGACGTGGGCGAGGTGTTATATGGCTTAGTTTGACGTGCATGCAACATGAACGCGAGAGCCCTCGAGAGGAAGAAGTCACTAGTGAGTTCCTGGCTCACTTCGGCAGTTGGAAGTGCTAATAGTTGATTGTCCTGGAGGTAAAGTACCCGGGCCTCGTTCACAGTCTCTGAGTGGTATTCAAAACAATCATGGAGGAGGAGCCACGCCCATGCATTGCCAGCCACGCCGTGACACAAACTGCCTCCCTTAGAAAGTAGACCTTCTTCCCACACACGCTCAGTGCCCAGGTAGATGGCTTGGTCCCAACTTGGATCCCAGTGGGAACGGGTTAAGGACTTATTTTTCAAGGCAGCACCTAGGAGAATCAACAGTCCTGGGCTCCCGTGACACAGCTGGACTAGTTCCGAGGAGCTCTGCTTGGGACCATATGGAGGTAGTGTCCTCGGGAGGTGGCCATTGGTAGTTCCGGATAGCTTGCAGAGCGCAGTGATAGTACCACCAATCACAGGAAGATAGTCTGTAAGCTCTTCGGGCTTGCATGAGAGTAGGATGGTTAGGATACCGGCTAAAACACATATTAGCATTAGCATTAGCTTAAATAATCGCCTACCAACTTACTTATCCCATGAACCCTATACATTGTCTATTAGCGATCTCATACGACACAAGATGAATGGAGGTGCACTTACGCCCCAAAGCAGTAATGGCCCTCCATCCATGCATACATCAATGGATGTGCGTCTTGGGCTCCATTCTTCTCAGTGTATTCCTTGGATCCTTGTCGCCCGGCATCGACAATCACTCGGATCAACTCGGGGATTGCCCCCAGCACAGGTGAGAGAAAGCCCTGGGTCTCTTGATCAAAATTATGAGCGCGAACATTTAAAAGGGTCCACAATAGTCCTGCTCGGCCAAACAGCACCTCATCTCCACCCATTTTTGCGCCATCATGCGTAACAAGAGGCTCATTACTTAGTGCGCACTGCATGGCCTCATCAAGGCAAGTGATATCCTCCCTTGTGATGCTGACATTAACACCACCTTGCCAATCATTCTTTGAAAAGGTAGCTAAAATGCGCAAAGTGACAGCAGTTATAGGCGAAGATGAGCCAAGTGGAGACAGTCGGGAGGCTAACAGGGGGGTGTCCGGGAGGCTTGATGGAATCCGTTGCAGTGCGTAACAACGATAATCAAGAGAAGTAGCCTTGTGATCCTTTAACACCGAGGACTGATAATCCAGGCGGAGGAATGCTAGAGCAATGCCTTTATTGGGTGATTAGATGACCATGGTTTGGAGAGGTGGAAGTGGAGCTTGAAATACCGGGGAAAGCTCTAAAAATTCCATTTGGACCCCATGTCTCAGGTAAGGAAGTGTTCTCTTCTATTAACTCGGCACCATTGCGAACCGCCACACGAAGCTGTTGGAGACTCTCGGAAAGAGTGGTCGCATTGATCGATAGTGGGGTTAAAGTGTTCTCGAAGTATTGCGGACGCTCTGCCATGGTGAAGGATTTGTTTAGTTATAGGCTGTCCAAGTGTTTGCAAAAAGATATGGCGTGATATGCAAGAATGAAGCTCAATTATGCCGATCGGAAAACTTTTGCCGTGACAATTCTGATCGGGGCTAATGGATCGCTTCCTACACCGTAGAATTATGTATGTCCTCGTCTAGCATACTTAGTCGCTTGTAACCGCACAAGGTACGGGCTCAGCTGGCCCCCCAAAACAAAATCCAGCAACGTCCCCACCAGCAAAGATACAAAACCGGTGCCATCCAGTAGAATTGTAGAATCCAAATAGCACCAATAATCGTGGCACGGCCCAACACCAACCACCTAGCAGGGGTTGGTGTTGGGCCGTGCCACGATTAGGGGTATTCTGTTTAACCACCCACTCGGCAGTCTCTATGACGATCACAGGTCCAACCCACAAAAGAGACATCTTCCATCTTGCCCTAGACCGTCTCAATGTGGCAAACATTGCCCAAGTTGCACAGCCAGTCAGAGACAGAAAAATCACATCCAACACTGGGAGCCTCAGGGAAAAGACGAGAGAGATAAAGTGGGAACATGTCGAAAATATGTATCCGACAGCCCGGACAAACAATTAACTAGCTAGAAAGAAGAAACGTGAGAGCCAGAAAAAGAATAAAAATAGTTATATGATTTTTATATCTTGGTCTGTCGTTTAGCTCGTTTTGCGATCTCAATCAAAGTCCGAACCTTTTCTTTTTTCTTTCAGTTATACCAATTCTTCACAATAGACTCATGGGTATATCTGTGTATCTGTATAGTTTCTTCAACACTGTGGGATAGCTTGAGTACTAAGGTTGATCCTGGGAACTAACTATATGTTGTACTAAGTTATATATTTCAATGTTAACTACATACTTAGTTCTCACCTTTTGGTTTCTGTCACGCAGTTAGAATCACACTCCTTGATATACCTGAGGTATAACCTATGTAATTTTGTCCATCATCCATGCTCTTAATCACCTCCTACATAGTACTATGTAGTAGCCTTATCGGGATAGTTAACTGGGGTATGTTAAAGCCTTATAAATTAGGCATAAATACCAAGAAATTGGCTTATCTAATTAGAAATGATGAGTCAGCAAGTGACCACGACTTCTGGACTTTGCGTTGCGGCCATTCCGGACTCGAGAATACTCACGCGGTCCTCGAAGTGCGATTGAGGGCTCCCTTCTAGAAGCAGTCCAGAATGTCAGTGAACAGACCCCCTGTTGAATCCCGTTCCTCGTAGTCATTGTTTTCTTGTTATTTTTGTATTCACCTATGAGGTTTTGTGATGCAAAGATACTCTGGAATAGAATGTATCCCACTAACATGTCAAATAGTCGTGTGATTGGCAACCTCCAGAGGGCTACCTTACCATTATGTCTGAAGTTCATGGAGATTCAGAGCTCGTTCCACCGGGCCCTGATCTAGATTATCCGCTTGCTCTGGCTCCGCGACAAGTAACTTTGCGAGATCGGGTTACGGTTGCGACCCTGGTCCCGTTTGCTTCAGCAGAGGAAGTACCCCGGGCTCTGCTGAAGTATCTCTCTGACCAATTCAACAAGGAGATCGAAAAGGGAGATACATATGCTATGACAGAGCCCATTCCACTGGCTCAGTTCGGACGATATTGGTTTTCGAACTTTGGTGTGGTTATGCTTACTGGCGACATCGAAAGTGCAGAGCAGACACATACGATGGACCGTGCTGGAGCCAATTGGACCAAGATCTGTCTAGGTGGCTTTCACATTCGGCCCAATTACCCTGGCCGTAGTAGTCATGTCTGCAATGGCACTTTTATTGTGACTGATGCTGCTCGAAACAAGGGCGTGGGTAGATTGATGGGCGAATCCTATCTGGAGTGGGCACCTCGACTAGTGAGTCCTTCACGCAATCGCTTCAAACGGACTATGAATTAATGTTTGCTAGGGATATACATATGCAGTCTTCAATTTGGTATATGAGTCCAACGTTGCATCATGTCGCTTGTGGGATTCCCTTGGCTTCAAACGGATTGGCCGAGTCCCCGGTGGAGGCAGTATCAAATCCCAACCTGGAGAGTTTGTCGATGCAATCATCTACGGCAGAGGTCTCAGTTTGGATGGCGAGGACTCTGTATCCCAGGATCGCTTTGAAAAAATCCGTTATTATTTGAAGCACGGAAAGTACCCTCGTGGTGCTGATCGGGCCGAAAAGAGTCGGCTTCGCAGTGCGGCGACTCATTATAAACTTCTTGGCGGGGAGGATGGAGAGCCCGAGAGGCTGATGCTGAAGGATAAAGAGGTGGTGTCAGACCCGCAGCAGCAGTACGATATCGCCCAAGAAGTTCATCTGAAGCAGCATGCCGGAATCAACAAAACCACGGCAGCTATTGCGATCAAATACCATTGGGTACGAATCAAAGAGACTGTCAATCGCGTGATCCGAGACTGTCCACAATGCAAAGAAACTCTCAAGGCGCCCCCCATACCAGGGAGCAAAGATGATGATAAATCGCCCTCGGAAACAATGTCTGGCATGGATATGGATAGCACAACGGAACAACCCCCGAAGGAACCGGACAATGTCCCGCAGGCGATGGATGAAGCACCCGATGAGCCTCCCAGTTACAACCCTCTGATGCACCAACCCGTTCCTGCAGCCATGCCCGGCACAGTCCACCCCATGGCTGGATTCGCACCCCTGCCTCTCGATCCTCAGATTATGCAACTACATCAACAGCTACGACGCTACCAACAGCAGAACCCTATGGCGGGCCAGTTCGCCCCCG